TTAAAAAAAATGCAGCAAAAACTTAATATTTCTCCCAATATATTTTATTTGATGACTTAGGAAGAAAATTTTCTAGAGAAAAAACACAAAAACCTTAACCAATTAGGAACATAACTTGTTTAGATTGGGGGGAGGGGGCAGGAAAAGGACCCAATTCTTTTTTTTAATTTTTATTAGTGAGACACCATGAGGTACAGTTGTAGACTTACAAATTTTTGTGCTTGGGTTTCAACTGTACAATGATCAAATACCCATCCCTCCACCAGTGCCCATTTTCCACCACCACGGGTCCCAGTATCCCTCCCACCCCACCATTCCCCCCATCCCACCCTGCCTCTGTGGCAGGGCATTCCCTTTTGTTCTCTCTCCTTTTGGGTGTTGTGGTTTGCAAAAGAGGCACTGAGTGGCAATCATGTTTAAAGGACCCAATTCTTAAAATGAAAAGCAAAACAGGTTTTTATTTAAAAACAACTTATTCCTAACTCATAAACCAAAACTGTTTTGGGGGTCACATCAGGCAGTGCTCAGGCTTACTCCTGGCTCTGAGCTCAGGGATCACTCCTGGTGGGGCTCTGGAGACCATATGAAGTACCTGGGATGGAACCTGGGTGGGCTACGTGTAAGACAAATACTCACCCACTGTACTATCTTTCCTGCCCTACTTATGACATTTTTATGCTTTTCTTCCAAATTATATCTTTAAAGACCTCTTAACATTAGAAATATGCAAAAAATATAGTTCTAGATTAATGAGCTCTGGGGGAAAGTGAAAACAACTCATTACAACTATGTGGCAGAGATCAAGTCAATTTTTCAGTATTTTATATAAAGTTATCAAAATAGGATTTATTATTATATCTTTTGGATTTTGGACCACACCTGGCAATGCTCAGGGGTTACTCCTGGCTCTGTCCTCTGGAGACCATATGGGATGCCGGGGCTGGAACCTGGGCTGACCACAGGCCCGGCAAGCACCCTACCCCTTGTAATCTTATTCCAGCCCCGAATTATCAAAGCAAGATTTTAAAGACCAATTTATAACCCCCTTACTAAAACAGCAAATACTGGTTCTTTCCTGCAGCTTCCTAATGCCATCTTCTCCAGTCAACAGATGACTCCCACCCCACAGCAGCAGCGTGGCGGTTAGGGAAGGGGACCAAGAGTCCATTCCCATTTTGCAAGTTGTTGTGGTGACCGAGGCAGCCGCTATTTGTCTAGCTGACTGGAGAAAGGACTAGTTTTGACTTTGGGATTTGGAAACTGGTTTAGGGTACTGTAGAAGAGATAAAGAAGAGACCAGCCGAGGCCCAGAGTGATAGCACAGCGGGTAGGGTGTTTGCCTTGCACACGGCCAACCTGGGTTCAATTCCCAGCATCCTATACGGTCCCCTGAGCACCGCCAAGAGTGATTCCTGAGTGCAGGGCCAGGAGTAACCCCTGAGCATCACCAAGTGAGACACAAAAAGGAAAAAAAAAAAAAAGGAAAAAAGAGACCAGCCAGGAGATAACTGACTTGTGGCTAAATTTACTATTATCTGCAGCAATATAAAAAATTTAGGAATAACTAGTAGTAGTATTTTTTGTTTGCATTCAGATCCTATCTGGCAGTGTTCAGAAGCTACTTCTGGTTTGGATCTTGGTGTTTAGGGGACCATATGGGGCCAGGGGTTGAACACGGGTTCTGGCATGCAAAGCCCTTGAGTTTTCTCCCGAGCCCGATAGTATTATTTTTAAGAGGCAGAAAAAGCAACTTGAACTGTGGATGCAGAGAGACTTCTAGAACTATCACATAGTTAAATTTTATCACAACTTTATAGCCTCCTTTTTTCCTGGCTTGCATCGCTACCATTAGGCTATGAAGTGTTCTTCTAAGATTCATTAATGCTTAACCTTGTTAGGAGGGTCAACCCTCTTTTAGAAGCTGCTGAGTATAGAAGGAAACATGCACAATTTTTGCACATAAATTTTGAAAAGCCCCTGGGTAACTCAAGCAAAAACATATAACCCAAGTTTGAAAGGAACACAAATGAATGTTCCTAATGCCCCAAATCAACCTTTATAGAAACTAATAACTGTAATCATCCTTGTTCTTAGATGTGTGACCCAGGGCAGTTGGGCTGGTGTACATGTTGTTGCATTTGGAAACTCTGATCCAGTCCCCCCAAGCAGTATCAGGAGTTGCCTCAGCACTAACAGGGTGGACCCCTCTCTCCCCGCCATTTGGCCATCTCTGCTTTATTAAGCTACATTCCCGTGGTGTCTGGAGACCCTAATAAACAACCATGATGCAGCAAGCCTAATTCAAAAACAAACAAACAAACCAGGTCTTCAAAGAGTTGAGCAGGCTAGACTCTAAATTTTACAAGGAAATCTTTATATTTTCTGATTCTGTAGTCACAATTCCTTTGAGTCACCCAGATAAACCTCTTTTAGTTTGATTCCAAGTGACAAACCAGAAAAACAAGCTTGGTAAGTAAAAGTCATTGCATGCCTGCTGCTGAGTCAGGATGGCCCAGAGACCGGGGCTGCAGACAAAGCCCAAGCAGAGGCCTCCTCCCTTGCCCTGTGCTCCAGTTGCCCGAGGCAGCCAGGACGGGGACAGCAGGAGGGACGCTCCACTTCCTCTGAAGAAAAAGCTCTCGCCATTCACTTCAGGTCACTGTTGGACATAAGAAAGCTCATCTTTGTCAGGCATGTAGCTCAGAGAGAGAGAACTTGCTTTGCACATGCTAAGGTCCTGAGTCTGATCCCTGCCACTGTGAAAGAAACCAACCTCCCTGGAAGACGCATCTTTTGCTATTTGTCTTGGTTGTAATCCTTCTAATATTTTTTTAAGACGTCTTACTAAAATATGAGTATTTATTGTTAATACTCATAATTTTGGCAATAGAAATTTTGCTGTGGAAGGAAGACTTTTTTGGGTTACGTTTTGGGGTTGTTTTGAGGTTAGTCACAGCTGTGTGTACTCAGCGGCTACTTCTGTACTGAGGCTTGGGGGTGGGCGCGTTGCTGCCTGTGGTGCTGGGGTTAAACCTGCCCCAGGTGCAAAGCATGAACTGCAACCTACTAAGCTATCTCCGGAGCCTGCCTGCTCCTTTGACTTTTACAGAGAAGTCTGCCTGCATCCTGACTGGACTCATAAAGGTTATAAAATACCTAGGGCAGAACTGACTTATGGAAGCATTTCACCTTATGAAATAAATTGCCAGGATCATTGGGCCCTTTTGCCCAAAACCTAAAATTTTTGTCTTTATGAACTGCTGTTTTGGTTCTCGGCTAACAGTGGTCAGGGGCCTTGGAATAGAATAAAGAAATTTTACTGTAAAAGACAGTTTAGTTACATTTCATGCCTGCACACAGTGAACCTACTGTATCAAAACATAACTCATTTCAACAGGAAGCTAAGCAGCTTCAATAGGGAACGAGTGGCTTCAGTTAGCTGCGACAACTAGTCTTTTTCCCATGGCGGGGAATCTGCATATACGAGGCATTTATGTCATTGCTAATAGTTCAATTTGAACAACAGACTTGGGAAACAAAGGGTCTGTCCAACTCTAAGTCTAAAATATGTGTGAAATGTGAGTCTCAAAAAATTCCCTGTGTGGTAAGGCAAAATGATCAACTGAGGTGTTAAGAGTGAATGAATGGGATGATCTTTGCAATCACTGTACTCCATTTCATTTGCCACAAGGCACGGATTAGTCCTAAATCTATGTTCCACACATCCGGAACCTAAACAGATACCGGATAAAAGGAGCACAGATAAAATAAAAATATTAGAATTGACCCTCTTACCTCTCACTGGTGATAACTTTTCTCATTCTGGATATAAGAAACATATTGAGAGAAGAAAACCGTCTGCCATAGAGGCAGGCAGGGGATGGGGGTGAATTGGCAGGAGGGAAACTGGGGGTATTGGTGTTGGGAAATGTACATTGGTGAAGGAACCATGGAACACTGTCCGACTAGAACCCAATCATGAGCAACTTTGTCAATGTAGCTCATGGTGATTAAAGAGAGAAACAATTATCAATGCAAAGCCTTTCATCGCCACATACATATCCAGACTACATTATATCTTCTCTTTGCGCCTTAGTTCCCTCAGCTTTAAGACGGAGAGGGTGGGGAGGGGTAAGATTGAAAGAAAAAGACATAAGAGCCACGTCCAGCAATGTCCAGGGGGTACTAAAGTTCAGGGGCCCAGGGTGAAAGCATTTACCTGGAACCAGGCTGTTTGACCTCTGGTGCTGTTCGAAAGCATGAAGTTCAGCCCAAACACCTGCTGTTTGACTACTGGCATTGCAACAGTGAGCATCCCCCAGTGCACGTGCCTGGATATGACTATGAAGATTGTTTCTATCATTAAGACCTGCCCGTGGCAATGCATGGAACGTAAAACTTGTAGGTGAACAACCCCATCATGAAGAAGAAATGATGTTCTGTGCTGTATGTGACAGATTCTCATACGTTTTGTTTGGGCCTTGGTGCTATTCCAACAGGTCGCTGGATAGGTGACTTGTCAGTGAAGTGCCCCCCCCCCCAACACCTGGTGTGTGACCCTAATACTGCAGCCAAACACCTGTGTGAGCAACCCAGCAACCGTTGGCAAGCACTACGATCAGAATGTGCGCATCCAAAAATCAAGGAGTGTGACCCCCGGGCAAACCAGTGTACAAGCACTGCAGTGGAAAAAGTATGTGCCCTCTGGTGAAGCTGAGGCTGTGAACACTGAAGGCTGACGCAGGACACCTGGTGAGCACCTCAACCAAGTGGGTGAGCACCACCATCAAGCATCTGGGTGACCCCACGTCGTTGCACCAACACCCAAAGAGAAGGAAAGGGGGAAAATAAGATTAAAAAACAAATAAATTGGAAATGATAATGAACCGGTCCTTAGTGGAGCAAAGGAGATTAGCTCGGTCCACATGAAGTAATGAGTAAACATTTGCATATTATTTTATTATTAAGTAAAAAAGTTATGAAATTAATATATCAGTTTTTGTATACAGAGGAATCTAAATAGAAGAAAATATTGAATCCAGATAGAACCATGAGATATATATATTATGATAATATGCAGCATCATAAAGAATTAGGTAATAAAAACATTCTCTAAATTGTTGAATATTGTTTCAATATTATAAATATATCAAGTTTTCCTAATGTAAATCTATAAATTTTACTGCTAACCAAATAAAAACACCAAAATAACATTTTTCAAAAAGTCAACAAATGGGGCTGGAAAGACAGTACAGCAGGTAGGGTGTTCGCCTTGTATGTGGCAGACCCGGGTTTGATCCTCCGCATTCCACATGGTTCCCGAACACCTCCAGGAGTAATTCCTGAGTGCAGAGCCAGGAGTAACCTCTGAACATTGTTGGGTGCACCTCCTTCTTCTCCCCCCAGAAATAACCAACAAAAATAACAGTGAGGTTCATCTAGAAAAATAGAACTGTCAGAAAACATTAAGTAAGGCGTGGGTAGAATTTATGTACATCGCATTCTAAAACATACTACAAATTAGATAGGGAGAAAAAAAAATCCCATGATTACAGGTCAATAAAACAGAACCCAGAAATACCAAAACACTAAAATGAATTAAGTCTAAAGGGAGCACTTCAGATTACTTGGGGAATAGGGATTACCCACTAAATTCTGATACAGTACATGGTTGTCTAGAAAAAAATTAAACTGATCCTATTAAATACTGTATGAGAACACAAAATCCTCTAGATAGTTTAGCAGAAAGTGATTTAATACAGAGAACTAAGCCTTTACAATTACAGAAAAATCTGAAGGGGACGAACTGGCTTACATGATCAAGGCAGTGAGCTTTGGCCTCCTGTTCAGAAATTGGTGTGGGCCTACAGGGGTGCAAAGACGGCAGACCACAGGCCTGGCACCCTGGCTTAGTGCCTGGCCCACACCTGCATGCAGGACAGGTGCCGACCCTCAGGTGTGAAAGGTCGAAGAAAGCTGCTCTCTGAGGGAGGGACAGGAACGGAAGAGGAGGCGGCAGACAAAGGGAGTCTGGTTGCTACAACTACTGTCTGCTGGAGCTAACCTGTCCAGTGACACAGCCACCACAGGTGACTTGACCAAATGCAAACTATCGGCAGAAACTGAATTGCTCAAAAAAAAACTCTACTTTGAGCTTCCAAAAATTGCCCTGTGTTACGAGATGGGGGCAGGGGGATCCAAATGCTAAGGGAAAATTCCTGCCACATCTTTTCACACTAAAATCAAACACACATGGATAAAACAAAGTGAAACATTAAAAACAAAACCAACCTATCATAGTGTTCTAGAATAAAAAAATGGGTAAATTCCTTTTCTTTTTGTTTTGTGGTCACAACTGCAATGCCCAGGGGTTACTCCTGGCTATCTTTCCAGACCCACAATGGGTGAATTTAGAACTTGGCTATAGAAGGTACTGAATCAACATACACATTCTAAATAGTATTTTAAATGTATCAATACTGTTGAGTTATATCATTGCTAGAAATTCATATTGTAAGTTTTCAAAGGCATCCAAGTAATACAGCACTAGAAATAAAAAAAGCGAAACAAGAAAATTATGGTTACGCACACACATATATATGTAAACATATCCTCATACTATCCACCGTGGGCAAACATTAGTACATCGTATTTCTTAATTGTTTCATTTGTTTTTACAGCACCAGGGATCAAACCTAGAGCCTCACACATGCAATAGTGCTCTACTGATGAGTTACATACCCCAGTCCCCAAATATTACATTTTTTAAAAAATCAACAGTGTGAAGATTAAAGGCATCAATGTGAAGTTTAATGGCACTTTTTCTGTGGAAGGAGGTTGGGAGTCTCACCCGGTGGTGTTCAGGTTTCAGTCCTGACTGAGCATCAGGGATCACTCCTGGCAGGTGTTGGGATTGAATTGAAGTTGGCTGTATACAAGGCAAATACCTTAACCTGTGTACTATCTCTCTGAATGCAGGTGTATTATTTACCTTCGAAATTCTGCTTAGAACCTTTAAATTTCCCAACATCACTTTCGCTCCCCTCTTCAAGTAATTTTCTAGTATTTATTTTGTTAGAATGTTCATGATTTTGTTTTCTAATAAACACACATGGTTTTTATTTCATTTTTGCTTTTTGGGTCATACCCAGCGATGCTCAGGGGTTACTCCTGGCTCTGCATTCAGGAATTACTCCTGGTGATGCTTGGGGGACCACATGGGATGCCGGGGATTGAACCCGGGTCGGCCATGTACAAGGTAAACATCCTACCTGCTGTATTATCACTCCGGCCCACACATGGCTTAAAATGATATAATATAAGTATCTAGGAAAGATACTTCGGGGGGGAGGCGTTAGAGGCATACTCAGCAGTGCTGGGGGGTTATTACCAACTTGGTGCTTAGGGGTCACTCCTGGCAATGCTCAGGAAACCATGCAGTGCCAGGGACAAAACAGGGATCTGCCACAAGCAAGACATACACCTTAACTCCTATACTATCTCTTTGGTCCTAAACAAGATACTTTGATCTGGCTCTGTGAAATAATTTTATTTCTATGAATGTTTGAATTATTCTACACATAAAGGTGTTTCAGATGAAAGAAAAACTTCACATAGAAAATCATTCTATGATTCACTCACATTTATAGCTTTTACTTTAATAACTTTTCATTAAAAGTCATTCCTTTCCCGCCTCCTCCAATCCAAAAACTATTTCATCAAAGGGCAGGTAAGTTTCCAAGTAATTAGTATGTACACAGGTGACTGTAAAAAATTACCTACAACTCTGTATTTTGTTCCAAAGGTGAAAAAATTTCCTTTAAGAAAGTGTTTTAACATCTTACATCATCTACAAAGCAGCAATAACATTTAAATTATTAAACTGAAAAATCTAGTGATATGTAGTCATAAACAGCCCATAAGAAATATATCTGAATTATTCCATAAAATATTTACATTGTTTAAATTACAAGACAGCCATATTGACTTCATCTTTTAGTAAGCCATATTAATAAGAATCTCAAACCAAAAGAGTATGTTATTCATCCTTAATAAAGGAGACTTTATCCTTGGGCTTATTCAGCATCTTAATATCATCCAACAGCTTTCTGGGTGTTAAAATGTGCGTAGAACCTGGTAGGGGAAAAATAAAATTTCAGACAGTATCAGTTAAACTTCTTTAAGTTAATTATATTACCCAGTCCTTCAAATATGTTAAGTGTAGTATCCTGGGTGCACCAGGATACTTGTTAAATTGTCTTTAACAAGTTTTTTCTGAAATCTGCCTATACTAGTATTTCAAACTTTCCCTTTCTTTTCTATTTTTGTACTTTTGGGCCATACCTGGCTGTCCTCAGGTTTTACATCTGTCTGTGAGCTCAAGGATCACTCATGATGTGCCAGGAGGGGTTAGAGGGGGTACCACATAGGGTGCTGGAATCAAGCCTAGGATCAGCTGTATGCAAGGCAAATGCCATACCATACCTCCAGCCCCTCAAACTTTCCCTTTACTGCCAGAGACACTGAGCATTTCTAGCGCTTTATTTTGTACTACAGATGCATTAGAGACAAAACTGGGGCTATTCTATCTTCACAAATGAACATCAACAGTGGTTGAACCACAGAAAACTATTATTAAGCAGTGCTGTAGACTGAAGCTTTGTGTACAAATGTTGCACTTCCATGAGCCAGAGAATATAAAATGTTGGCTTTAATGAAAATTTTCACATACCCTGTGCTCAGGACTCCTGGCTCTGTACACAAGGATCACTCCTGGTGGAGTTCAGGGGACCATATGCGGTGTTGGGGATTAAACCTGGGTCAGTTCATTGCAAGGCAAGTGTCCTAGTCACTAGACTGGCTCTCCACAGTCACGGTCACGGTCCTCCCATTATTCATCGATTTGCTTGAGTGGGCCCAATAACGTCTCCATTGTGACACTTGTTACTGTGTCAAGTAACAAGTGGTATATCGAATAAGTCACGGGGAGCTTGCCAGGCTCGTGCGGGCGAGATACTCTCGGTAGCTTGCCAGGCTCTCCGAGAGGGGTAGAGGAATCGAACTCGGGTCGGCCATCTTGGCTGCTTGCAAGGCAAACACTTTACCTGCTGTGCTATAGTAATGAAAATTCTTAAAACTAAATTTCACATAAACCTTATTTTCCCCCTTTTTTTTTTTGGCAGGGGGTTGGGGGAGTGCAGAATTTTTTCTTTTTTTTTGCCCCACACTCAGGGGCACGCTGGGGCTATTCCTGGCTCTGTGCTCAGGAGTGACCCCTATGTTCAGAGGGCCTTATGTGGTGCCAGGGATTCTAGGTGAGGTTTTAAGCTCTATCGTCTCTCAAGTCTTCCATACAGATATTGCCAATGTCAGATCTACATCTAGCAAAAAAATCCTTATTTCTGTAGTAGAAATATGTTTATACTTCAAAAAGTTACTTGAAAATGAAAGTGAAGAAAGCATATGAAACACTAAATTATAGGACATTATTTTAATAATTGCATTACAACATAGTATTTTGTAGTTGATTTCCTGAATATTTAGAAATAAAGTTATCAAAAAGCCAACCAGAGATAAACTAGAACATCAGTTACAACATATTTAAATAACACTATTTAAAAAAGCTTTTTGTATAAAAAAATGTAGTCCTAAGTGAAAAATACAAGATTATGTTTAACATATATGCAGCTGATCAGGTTCAATCCCTGGCTCCACATATGGTCCCTTGAGCACCTCCAGGAGTGATCCCCTAACACTGAGCGAGGAGTAAAACCTGAGCCCAGCCCAGGTGTGGCCCCAAAACTACAACTAGAAGTCATAACAAAGCTTTCCATAAATTTGCATTGAGGGTATTTTAAAGAAAAAAACAGAGAAAAACACCTTACCAATAATAACTTCACAGGATTTATGTGCCTGAGAAACTTCATATGCACAACGCATTTCAGAGTATGTAATTCCTCCAATTACAAAAATAATCAGCTTTGACCCATTTTTTCGATCCTCTAAATAATTAGCTCTGGGTTTCTGGCGAGCACTAAAACAAATAAACAAACAAACAAAAAATCACAAACATGTTCAAATGTCCAAAGTCATTTTTCCTACAGGCCTTTAAAAAAGCTTAATTCAAGCAAATTCAAATCTGGAACCAATTACACCAATTTTAAGGAAATGACAACTGTAGCAAGACTTGAGCATTAGAGACAGGCAGTCCCATTTCTTTAATTTTGAACTACAAGTCTGGACAAATCACTTAATACTTATTCAGTATTTAGCCTATAAACTAGAGTTAATACCCTCTTATGTACTTTACATAAAGAAATAATATACCCGAAAGACATGTGACTTCTTGAAATGAAAAAAAGGATGGGGCAAGTGGCACTCAAACAGGGTCGAGGACTTGGATCTGGTATGGGCGTGCCCCTGGATGAGACTCAATGAGGTGCAGAGGGACACCCAGATTTGCTCTGGTGTGGGCGTCCCCTGGATGAGACTCAGTGAGGTGCAGAGGAGGCAGATGTGTAAAACACATCTGCATTCCCATGCTCACTGCAGTCAAGGCAGGAAACAAGCTAATCCATCATCAATGGGGAAACAGACTGAGAAAGCGTGGCTTGTTTATATCATGGAGTGTTAATTAATTTAGAATGGAAGGAAATTCTGCCATTTGGAATAACATGGATAAACCTGGAAGACATTAAGCTAAGGAAAATAATATGAATGCTAAAAGACAAATACTGCATGATCTTATGAATGTGGAATGTAAAATAGCTTCAAGCAAACAGAAAATACAATGCTGGATGCCAGGGATCACAGGGAGGAGAAAAGGGATGTGGGTGCCAATGGCACAAAGATTCAGTTATTCACGATCAATGACTTCAGAGGGCTAATACGGTATAGTGACTGTGATGATAAAAGTGGTTTATAAACCTGAAATCTGCTAGGGGGTTAAGCTTAAGTTTTAACCATACACACAAAACAGAAAAAATGGCAGACTGGAGATGACAGATGTATTAATACTAGCTTGTGATGATCATTTCACAGGGTATAGGAGTCAAGTACTAGATTTTAAATATACACTTTTAAATTTGCTTATAAATGGATGGGAATGGAGAGTATCATGAGTGAAATGAGTCAGAAGAGGGACAGACATAGAATGACTGGACTCAAGGACAGTAGAAACCAGGGCAATGCGGACTGGCCTGAGGTTAGAAACCTACCTCAAATGCTGGGGGAGAAGGCAATTGGGAGAGAGAAAGGATTAGCATGACAAAGAGTTGGAAATGATCACTCTGGACAAGAACTGTGGGCTGAAACAGATAAAGGAACAAACATGATGACCTCTCAGTACCTATATTGCCCCTCCATCCCTCTCAGAGAGCCTGGCAAGCTACTGAGAGTATCCCGCCCACAAGGCAGAGCCTGGAAACCTCCCTGTGGCGTATTCAATATGCCAAAAACAGTAACAAGTCTCACAATGGAGATGTTACCAGTGCGCTCTAGCAAATTGATGAACAACGGGGAATGACAGTGCTACAGTGCTACCAATATTGTAAACCACAATGCCCCAAAGAGGTGGGGGGGGGGGGGAGGGAGAGGGAGGGGGAGGGAAGAGAAAGGAGAGGAGAGGAGAGAAAGGAGAGGAGAGGATAGAGAGAGGCGAGGAGAGAGAGAGGAGAGGAGGGGGGGAGGAGAGAGAGAAAGAGAGGACAAAAAGAGAAAAAGAGAGAAGGAAAGTGCCTGACATAGAAACAGGCTATGCGGAGGGTGGCAGGAGGGAAATTGGGGACACCGTAGTGGAACATATACACTGGTGGAGGAATGGGTGTTGGAACACTGTTTATATTTGCTTCAGGTTGACTTTAGGTTGACTGTATGGCCACTCACTACTTTCGAACCAGCCGGTGCTGGAACACTGTATGACTGAAACCTGACCACAAGCAGCTCTGTAACTATCTCATGGTGATTTTAATTAAGTAATTAAAAAATATATACACTGTTCTCCATAACTAAATTGTATTTCAATAAACTGTTTAAATAAGTTAAATTTAGTTTTCCATTGATTTTTCTTTTAATTCAATTGTAACTTTTGTATAGTATACATGTGATTTATAGATTCACGTATTTTAGTACATAATTTAAAGAAACTTTTCAAATAAAAACATGTATTTTTACGAATGGTTACAAATGGAAACAAACCAAAGTGATTCCCTATGATAGAGAGCCACACTCTGACTGGGGCACTGACTCTTCACTTCCACCCCCTGGGCTCTCAGAACATTCCAAGGAGCACAGGTGACAATCCCATAAATGGAGGCGAGCACTGCACAATAATAGGGGGCCAAACATTAGGACGGTGAGGGGACCATAGGAAGGAAGGGCACGATTGCTGGAGGTTAGCTAGTACAGAGCTAAAGCAGTACTCTAGAGAACTTTTTTTTTTTTTTTTTTGCTTTTTGGGTTACACCCAGCAATGCACAGGGGTTATTCCTGGCTCTGCACTCAGGAATTACTCCTAGCAGTGCTCGGGGGACCACATGGGATGCTGGGAATCGAATCCGGGTCAGCTGCATGTAAGGCAAACGCCCTACCCGCTGTGCTATTGCTCCAGCCCGAGAACTTTCTTGCATAGATGGAAATGGTCTGCATCTGCACATGAGAGCCGCCAAACGCTACATAGCTACATGATTTGTAGTGGTGAGTGTGTCCAAGAAACTAAGTGTTTAGAAACGACCTTATGTGGCTTGTACAAAGTATAGATCTAGATCTAGAAATATGAGTGGTGAAGTGAATTAAGTAAGAACTATTGTGTACTGAGTACTTTTTTGGTACAGATTCCATACTTGGTACATTTTAATAATTACTTTGTTTGGGGCTAGGTGAATAGTACAGATGATAGAGCTCTTGCCTCACACATGGCCAATCCAGGTTCAATCCTGAGCACCACATATGATTTCCCAAGCCTGTCAGGAGTGATCCCTATGCACAGAGCCAGGATCAAGCCCTAAGCAGTGACAGGAATAATGCTTGAGGGAATAGGAGTGATAGTATAGCAGGCAGGGCTTGTTTAGCATGCTATCAACCTGCGTTCGATCCCCAGCATCCCATATAGTTCCCTGAGCACCACCAGGAGTCATTCCTGAGTGCAGAGCCAGGACTAACCTCTGAGCACCATCAGCTGTGGTCCAAAAACAAAACAAAAAAATGGAATAATGCTTGAGCACTGTGCGGGGAGCAGACTCAACACAAAGGATTTGATTTGGATTAGATTCCAAAGAAAGCAGATAATAAAATTGTTAGACTAAGACCACAATTTAATTAATAAAATTAAAGTTTGAAATGATAAGTGACAATACAGTAGGTCAGAAAGTACAATAAAATAGAAATAACAAAAAATAAATCCAAGCATATGTGAAAAAGAAATGTTTTTAAAATGGAAAAATAAAGTCAGAACATAGAAATCCAAGACAGCTTGCTTATTCAGCAGACCGAACACAAGTTTCAAAACTAAAGAATTGAAAACTAAATGTAAAGGAGAATTTCCAGAATGCATCACAAAAATAAAAGACATGTTAAACTTGAGGGATTACAGACATGAAAATTTAATAAGATATTTCAACAAAACCAAGACTGTAAAACTGGCAATATCTGAAAAATATGAAACCTCAGATTCAGGAAACATAGTAAAAACCAAGGAAAGAAATAAAAATAGATACAGCATATACAGAATTTCAAAGAGGACAGGCAAATTACAGAGGTATTACAAAAACTGACAGAAACACACTGCCCCCCACAACACATACTTTCTCAGTAATTAAAACTGAAACCAAGAAATGAAAATACAAACCATGTAGACTAAGACCACAAGCAGCTGAGTGGGCCTAGAAAGTCAATGTTATCATGCAAGATCAAGGACAAAATGAAGATATTTTCAGACAGCCAAAACCCACAAAAACTACCACCAAAGGCCACATTAAAGAAGCTTCTGACGAATGTATTTCACACAAGAAGGGAATGAAGCCCCTCAAAAAAGAATGCAAGAAGTGCTGAATAATATAATTGGTTAACATACATATTCAACTAAAAAAAAGAAAGTAAAGATGATAATTAATTTGAAAGTAATAAAAGGCCAACATGAAATTACTAAGAAAGCATCTAAGCATCTTGTCTGAATTAAGTTATTCAAGGGTTCTTGTAGTGTTCAAGAGTGAAGCAGATACTAAACTCATTAATTCAGACTTGGTGTCAAAGAAGCGTACTCAAATAGTGCCAAAAAACCACAAACAGGATATACAGTATCCAAAACAGGTGAAAAGGAATGGGATAAACTAAAACTAATGCAAAGTCCTTAGATAAAGGGAAGCCTAATTAAGAGAAACATTCATATATACATAAAGATACAAGAATATTCACAAGAATGTTTAAAATGGAGCTCATTTTGAAAGTCTAAAATTCCATCACGTAGAAAACAGATGAATAAACAATGATACTCATATAAGTAACACGTCAACAAGCAGTGAAACTTCCTCATATATACATCAATCTGAGATTGATTTCATAATTGTAATGTTGAAGGACACACACACACAAAGCAAGTGATAGGAGCACACATTTCATCATTTAATACCGGACCCCCTCTGCCAAGTTTAAAAACAGCTGTGAAGGAGACTTCTGGGCATGGTGGATGCTGTTCAAAGACTTCATGGGAGATCAGAAAAACAAGCATAATATTACTGACTGGAAACTGACTACAGGCAGACAACAAATTGAGAAGCACTTACTCCTAGATATAAGCCACCATGTAGAACAAGAATGGTGGCAGGGACTACGTGACCTTGGCTGGGCCTGCAGCCAAGCCCCACCTTTATCCCAACTCATCTGGTAAAAACTACAGCTATACTGACTTGAAGTTGGCTGTTACTGCCAGAGGTGAGAGACTGATTAAAGGTGTTGTCACAGGGAGTGTAAAATCCTGCAACTTTGCTGGTTCACAAATGGCAACTTATTCTTCCAAATACTTTTTTTTTTATTTCAGTGCCCACAGCATACTGAAACAACAGAAGCTCAAGCAGTGCTCAGGGGCCTAGGGGCCACTCCTGGTGTTTTTTTTTTTTTTTTTTTTTTTTTTTTGCTTTTTGGGTTACACCCAGCAATGCTCAGGGTTACTCCTGGCTCTGCACTCAGAAATTGCCACTCCTGGTAATTCTTAAGTCAACTGGGACAGAAATTCAATGGTAAGGCTGAGGAAACTGTGGCATTCAGGCCTATCATGCTGGGGACAATGAAGGCCACCCTGGGGGTACTAGGAGTCAACTGGACCTACTGTTCAGTGCCAGGGATCAAAATGCAGTTGACCATATGCCTCATCCCACTGAGTTCTCTCTTTGGTCCTGGGATGCATTTCTATTTTTTTTTTTGGGGGGGGGTCTCACCCAGTGATGCTCAGGGGTTACTCTTGGCTCTGCACTCAAAATTACTTCTAGCTGTTCCTCGGGGAACCATATGGGATGCCAGGGATTGAACCTGGGTTGGCAAACACTCAACCTGCTGTACTATTACTCTGGCCCCAGACATGCATTTCTTAACCCATAATCAGTTTGATGAGTAGAGGATGGAACCTTTATAGGCTGTAGATATCCAGATAATTAGCTGATGTATAAACTAAACAGAGAGACACAGAGGCAATCACTAGGAGTTAAAAGAATGGTAAAATAACAAACCTCAACAATGACATTGGAGAGCAGGACAGCGTAGAACACTACCTTGCATGTATGGGGCTCTGAGTTCGATCCCTAGCACCATTAAAAAACAACAACAACAACAAACACAAACCTGGCATCAGTGGCTACTCCTATAAAGGAAATGACCCAACAGTTTAATGCAAGTCATCAAAAGAAAAAAATCAGAATTGATCCAATACTCAAGGTTTAATTTTTGGTGATGGCAGAGGGGTGGGAGGTGGCACCCTTGGACCACATCCAGCTGTGCTCACCCTTGGATCACTCTTGGAAGTGCTCAGGGGGTCATATATGGTGGTGGGGTTTGTAATGGGTAAGCACCTCAAGCTATTTTAAAGGTTTAATTTTCAATGAAAAAAATCAGATGTGCAAAACCCACAATAGACATAGATTCTGAGTGGACAGAGATGTTTGATTTAGTAGACATCAAAACACCTATTACAAATATTAATGAAGAATTAAAGAAAACCAAGCAAACAGTAAAATTAACATTAAGAAACCTCAGAGAGAAATAAAAGCTAAAATAAAAGTGGTATTCTTTAGCTTAGTTTCTTAAATTTGTGGGTCATTGCCCCATATGGGGTCATGTAACTTTTTAAACATATGCTTTAAATTTCTTTATCACTGTATCACTGTCATCCTGTTGCTCATCTGTTTACTTGAATGGGCACCAGTAACGTCTCCATTTATCCCAGCCCTGAGATTTTCTCAGCCTCTCCTTACTCGTCTTTCCCAGTGCTGCCATATTGGTGGCTCTTTCAAGGTCAGGGGAATGAGACCCGTTATTTTACTGTTCTTTATCATTATCAGAAAATATTTGATTTGTATACTGATTTCATATGCCCTATAAACCTGGGGTCACATATGAATTTCTTGGGCAACACAGGGGTTGCAAGTGGAAAAAGTTTAGTTAGCCCTGTTCTATAGCATTAAAATTTTTTTAATGGTAACGTTTAATAAATGAAATGAAACATTTACTAGATGGGCTCAAAAGCAGCTTAAAATGTCAGAAGGATGAGATAAAACACAGTACCCAAAAGAAGAGAGAGAGAACAAGGGGGAATGCCCTGTCACAGCGGCAGGGTGGGACGGGGGTGGGGGGAGGGATGGGGGGTGGGAGGGATGCTAGGACCCGTGGCGGGGGAGGATGGGCACTGGTGGAGGGATGGGTACTTGATCATTGTATAACTGAAACCCAAGCACAAAAATTTATAAGTCTATAAGTGTACTTCATGGTGTTTCACTAATAAAAAAAAATGATAAAAAAAAAAAAGAAGGATGGATCAAAGGACACTATCCCATCTGAAGAACAGAAAGAAAAAGATGAAGAAAAAGTAAACAGTTTAGAGGTTCATGAGACTGTCAAAGCTTCCAATATATGAGTGTTTTAAAGAGCAGGCAGGGGTAAAAACTAAGTATTTGGTAAAAGTATTAACTTGTAAATTCATGAAACTCAGAAAATCCTAAGTACAATAAAAGAGAATTATACCTAGATGTATCAAAACTGCTAGAGGACTAAGAGAAAATCCCGTAAATCAAAATATTATGCAATGTTTAGAATAGAAATACATAAAAACACATAGATGAATGGTAAAAACCAAATTCATGATAGAAAAGAGAGGAAGTAAAAAAATCAGAGTGAATCAGAAATTTTAATTGTATTTAAGATTAAGCTGAACAGAGGTTATAAGAATATGGATTAAAATAGTCTCTATGATTTTCTGAATGTTTCAAATACTTCACCATGAAAAATACTCAAAAAGGATCATATACTCTGCTACATGAAGAAATGGGTTTTAGGGAAAACTCATTACAGTTTCATGAAAATCGTTTTATAATAGTTACATTTCATTATGCTAACCTGGCTCATTAAATATGGGTTAGAAAAAAAAACTGCCTCTGCAGAGGTTATCTGCTTCAAGAATCACTAACAAAAGAGTACCCAGGAGCCAGTTCAATGATGACCCCGTGGTGTCAAGCTCGGATTCTGAGATTGTAAGTCTAGGTTTACCTTACAGCGCCCGAGCCATTCCACACTGCCGGACATGGAGAGCAATATGGCCATTCTTTCGAGTCTAGTCTATTATCGATGGCGTCCTAGGGAAGGAGAGAGTGAAGACTGTTTCTGTTCTGCACAAAACTCAAAACTTGTATTCACGTTTACAATGAAGAAACATAAGGATGTATTTAATAAATATTCCTCTCACGGAAACTTACAAATCCTATGTGCTCCAAAAAGCCACGCAACTGTTTCCTTATGAAGACAAAATTTGTTTTCACTTGTTCATTTCGTGGGTCAGTCCCACACTGTGTAGGGACCCCAAGCACCTTATCAGGCCCTTTACATCAGAGTGCTGCTGTTCTCTACAAACCAGCTGAGTCCGAACGTATCTCTTTACCTGCCTGGAGAGGCCTTGCCGCACTCTCTCTAGAGGCTCTCAAGTAAGAAGATCACCGCTGATCTAGGGATACTATGATAACTGCGAGGATGAGACAAGTTTTTATTCCATTAAAAAACTTTCCTTCTCCCATTCTGTTACTTTATATTCTCCAGATGAGTTCAGTCTTTCTATGTCTGTCCCTTTCTTTCTTGCTCATTTCGCTTAGCATGATACTTTCCATGTAGAACCACTTGTAGGTAAATTTCATGACTTCTAACAGCTGTATAGTATTCCACTGTGTAGATGTACCAAAGTTTCTTTAACCAGTCATCTGTTCTCGGTCACTCAGGTTTTTTTCCAAATTTTGGCTACTGTGAACAGTGCAGCAATGAACACAGAAGTGCAGATGTCATTTCAACTGTACTTTTTTGCCTCTCTGGGATATATTCCCAGGAGTGGTATTGCTAGGTCAAATGGGAGCTCAATTTCTAATTTTTTGAGAATTGTCCATACTGTTTTCCAAAAGGGCTGAACCAGTCGGCATTCCCACCAGCAGTGAACGAGGGTCCCTTTCTTGCCACATTCACACCCAAGAATAGTTGAGATAAGTACCAGGAGGTCTGCTCCAGGGCTTGGAAGCCGGAAGCACATGTTGGGGGAAAAGGGAGCTCAGACAGAGAAGGGAACACCAAGTAAAGGATGTTTGGAGGCCTTGCTCAGGACTTGAGATGCGTGCTGAAAGTAGACTACAGACTGAACATGATGGCTACTCAGTACCTCTACGGCAAACTACAACACCCTAAAGGAAAGAGAGAGCAAAAGGGAATGCCCTGCCACAGAGGTGAGGTGGGGTGGGGGGAAGATGGGGTTGGGTGTGGGAGGGCTACTGGGATCATTGGTGGTGGAGAATGGGCACTGGTGGAGGGTAATTGATCACTGTATAACTGAAACCCAGCACAAAAGTTTGTAAGTCTACAACTGTACCTCTTGGTGTTTCACTAATTAAAAAAAAAAAAACCACTTTCCCTCTCTTTACCCTTGCTTTGTGATACACTTGTGCCTGTGAGGTATGCATTTGACCACTGAGTGACATTCCTTGTCCCAAAGTCCAAATTCCCTAGTTTTTACTAAGCATGTATGTAAGATATAAAATTAGATAAGTAAAACAGAAAAAATCATATTCAATTAGTTTCCTCAGGAAAGCAGAAATTAGGGTTCAAATGCAAAGAAAATTTGAATACTATGACTAAAGAATTAAGGCCATTGTTTTATTGAGTTACAATTTTTAGTAGCTAATTTTTAAATTTCCTATAGCTACATACTATTTTCTGGGCTGGAGCGATAGCACAGCAGGTAGGGAGTTTGCCTTGCATGTGGCCAACCCAGGTTCAATTCCTCTCTCCCTCTTGGAGAGTCTGGCAAGCTACCGAGAGTATCCCACCCGCACAGCAAAGCCTGGCAAGCTCCCTGTGGCATATTCGATATGCCAAAAAAGTAATAACAAGTCTCACAATGGAGATGTTACTGGTGCCCACTTGAGCAAATCAATCAACAATGGGATGACAGCGCTATAGATACTATTTTCTAACAACAACAACAACAAAAACACACTACTGAAGGCATTAACTGCCTATTGCCTCTAAAAGCAGGCCTATAGAGTTTACGTTTTAATCATTTTTCATGTGAGCCACACCCGGCTCTGCTTAGGCTCTATTTCTAGCTCTGTGCTCAGGGAGCACTCCTGGGCAGTGCTCAGGGGATCACATGTGGTGCCAGGGATTGAACCTGGGTCAGCTGCAGGCAAGGCAAGAGTCTTAACTCCTATACTATTTCTCCATTCCCTAAAGTTTACACTTTCCTCACAAATACATTCCCAAGATAATAGTCTAACACTTTCTAATCTAAGTGCCACCTTAAATTTTACTTTGTTAAATTTCATGCAAATAAATTATATTTCAGGCACATGTATTTATTTACAATAGCAAATATTTCATAAAGCTTGCCTGTGTATTTTTACTTATTTATTTTAAGGCAGTCATGTTGTGAATTTTCACAAGTTTCCTCTCCTGACTCTAGGAAGATCCAGTCTTCTTTCTGAACTACAAAAAATTCCTCACCCTTAGATCAGGAACTGCTTAGACATATAAAGAATGAACAATACTCAGATATGAAAGGCACTTAGGGGATAAGTAAAATTTAATGAATATTACCTCCAAAATATCTTTCATAAAGGGGGTCCAGCGAGAGAGCTGAAAAGTTTCTTCTGCAGACCGATCCTTTCTTGATGGTTTGCCTTGTTGAGACTAATTACGAGAAAAAATACAAAACAAGTTACTTTTATTTTATGAGATTCTCTTATAAAGTTTTCTAACAAATATGTTTAATTACAGCAAATACTATTTGTATTTGACTTAAAATTAAAAGTGATCTGAAATAACTACTCAAAAGTTGGAATAGGTACGGTCAGATGATTTCACTGAACAGTATTTTGTGCTTGAATGAAAAACTTAAGGGTAGAATCAGAAAATGTTCAAAAGTGCTATAAAAATTTGATGGGGGCTGGAGGATAGGGCATTTGCCTTGCACATGGCGAACCCTGGTTCTAATCCTGGCATCCCGTATGTTCCCCCAAGCACTGCCAGGAATAATTCCTGGGTGTAGAGCCAGGAGTAACCCCTGAGCATCACTGGGCATGGCCCAAATTGCCATTAACAAAAAAAATCTTGGAAAGGATCATGCTGGACAAGAACTGAGTGTTAAAAGTAGGTAAAGTAGGTAAAGGGATATACACAATAACCTTTTAGTATTTGAATTGCAAATCATAATGCCCAAAAGGGGAGAGGGAGAAAAGGAGGGGGAGGCAAGAAGGGAGGGGAAGAGGGAAAGAGAGAGAGGGGGAGGGGGGACGGGTGTGTGTGTGTGTGTGTGTGTGTGAGAGAGAGAGAGAGAGAGAGAGAGAGAGAGAGAGAGAGAGAAGTGCCTGCCTTGGATAAGGTAGGCTGGGGGTGGGGGATGGTGAGAGGGAAGCTGGGAACACTGGTGCTGGGAAATGCACACTGGCGGATGGATGGGTGTTGAAACACTGTATAACTAAAACCTAATAATGAACAGCTTTGTAAGGGTCTATCTCACAGACCCTATACTATAGGGTTCAATAAAAAAAAAATTCAATAAAAAAAAACTTGATTCAATAAAAAAAACTTGATCGAAGGAGATTGTAAAGTTCTTTCAAAATTTGATATAAACGATTATAAAGTGAAAAGCACAAACAGGAAATAAAATAGAAGTCATAAAATATAAATTCAATAAAAAATATTTGTCTAAATTACATAAGTATGTCATGTTGGAATTATGTGCATGAGAAACCATTAATGGTCTTTAAATCTCAGCATCTCAATCAATTAGACAAAACTTTTTAGGGCCAGAGTGACAGTACAGTGGCAGGGAGCTTGCCTTGCACATGGCCGACCCAGATTCAATCCCAGCATCCCATATGGGCAATTGAGCATGCTAAGAGTGATTCCTGAGCTCAGAGCCAGGGGTAACCCTGAGCACTGGCAGTTGTGGCCCAAACCAAAAATAAGTAAAACAAAAACAACCCTTTAAAATAAGTACAGTAAAAGTTTTTGAAACAAAAAATTATGTAGTAACTTATCAATCTATACAGTAAATATAAAACTGTCCACATAAGTTAAAAAAATTAGAAAATATACTTAATGTAAACAACTACACAAGCATTCTAAAATTATATACAGAATGTATTTCTTACTGGGGGGACAATGGGAACACCAAGATAACTCCAGTTACGAATCATATCACTTTCATTTTCTATCTTTACATTCTGGATTAACTTCTCCAAATTTTCTTCTGTAGTTCCTGGGAGAGGTAAAAACATGAGTGGTCAGATAATTATTCTGATAATCATTTCTAGGTTTCAGGTAATATCCATACATATATAAATTTTTAAACTAAGAAGAAAACATTTCAACTATGTAGGCTTTAGTATTCTCCCCTTTTCTTGGTATTTAATCAATCTCACTAATATTCTGCGATTCTTTTATGATCAATAGTAAGCGAATTACTGTAAAGTGATTTTAGAGGTCTTTTTGTTTGGTTGGTTTCAGGGTTATATTCAGCTGTGTAGATAGCTTACTTCTGGCTGTGCTCAGGAATCATTCTTGGCAAGCTTATGGAACCATATATGGTGTTGAGGACACAATGGGTCGGCGGCATGCAAGGCAAGCGCCGTAATAATCCCTGTACTATCACTCTGGCTGCTGTGTTTTTTCCCCTGGCTATTGCCAGAGGGCAACATCCAGCAGTGCTGGCAGGAGGCAAGGAGGCTGCGTGTGGTAATGGGAACACGTGCTCTATTAGATGATGGAGCACATACTAAGCCCTAGAGAGCTAGGAATTTTAATATCATCTATAAAATAAACAAAACCCTCATTACCATTAATACTGAAGATGTAAAGTAGGATTGCTCTTATTTTATCATAATTATCGTGATTTTTGTTGAGTAGGACTGGAAGGAGAACTCGCATAGAATCTTTCACCTTCTGTCCTTCCGCATCAGTTCCAAGTGCCAAGTCCTTAATGAAGACAAAACATTGTCAGGGGGGCTACAGCCCAAATTCTTTTCTTTTTAAGAATATCTACTATTAAAGCTTACCCAATTTCAATGGAACAATATTTCACTTTTTAAAAAAGCACCACTTGTAAACTACTGAGTACATAAAATATTAAAATAAATAATTCAGAGAAAAAAATCACTGATCTAAATCTGTGATCATATCTAATATGGTAAGCACAAATCACAGCTGATTACTAAGCTTTTGAAATGGGGCGATCATGAGTAGATATGTGCAGTATATTTTATCACCAGATTCTAAAGTTGGTGTGAAAAGGTGTAAAATATTTCACTGTTAATATGTTGTGACTATATGAGCATTAATATATTTAAAATTATCTCTTCTTTTAAACTTACTAAGTATTTTATTTAACAATGAAACAAATCACGATCACGACCATCCTGTTATTCGTCAATTGCCTCGAGCAGGCCCCATTAACGTCTCCTTCGTCCTAGCCCTAAGATTTTTTTAAAAAGTGCCATATTCAAGGCTCTTTCAGAGTTAGGAGAATGAGACCCATTATTGTTACTGGTATTGGGCATATTGGGTACGCCACGGGGAGTCTGCCAGACTCTGCTGTGTGGGCAGGTTACATTCGGTAGAAACAAATACATTTAATAAATACAATTTTTTAATTTCATAAATTAAACATTTTTAACTATGAAAATAAATTAAATGCACCTCTGCAGTGCTCTGTAGGAAGCTAAATTAAATACTGCATCCACTGATAAAGTTGTTCAAACAATGCCACCCTGAAATACTCCAAACTCTTAAATCATTCCATTCAACAAAAGAATAACAGATTAGGAGGGGGTACATTGTGACACCAAGTTATTAATGTTGGTGAGGAATGATGCATTAAACCTGCTAGGGGAGTGAATTTCCCTCGAAGAGAGATTCTGTCCTTCAGTGCACTGTAGTGAGAAGAGTTAGGTTTTACCTTACAAAGTTCATTCAGGACATGTGTTATAAACATAGGGGTATTTCTGATTCTACACATACCTGTTCGGTTTTGCAGAGTTTTTCTATATTAGACTTGAACTTACTCATGCAGTCTTCTGCTAAGTTAAGATGGACAACTTGCTGGAAAACAGAAGAAATGAATTATATATATACATTTAAATTTATTTTTTGTGTGTAAATGGTAATATTCAACAATTGAGATAGGCCTGAAGTAATATATGAGTTTAGGTGGAAAAGAGGTAATACATGTAGTAAGGGATACAGCTCAAGAAAAAAAAAAGGTTAAGATTAATCTACATCAACAGGACACAATCTAATAGAGAGGGAAATCAGAATCAGCTGAATCTGTTAACTTTGCAAGCAACAAGAGGTCAGAAAAAAAATAAAGCCCTTACAAATTCAGCAGAAAAAAAGTTCAAATTTATACTATTTTGCTCTTCACTAGCATTTAGTATGATTAAAAAGCACATAAAGATTATTCTAATAATGACTTATAAGAACAAATGGAATAGCAAATTAAAAAAAAAGTTTATCTGCCCACACAACTGCTCTGCAATCTACTACTAATTAACCATGGCCAAGTATGTGAGCACCACAGCCAAGTGTGTGAGCACCACAGCCAAGTGTGTGAGCACCACAGCCAAGTGTGGAAGCACCACAGCCAAGTTTGTAAGCACCATCGCCAGAGGTTCAACCCCACAGGAGTATCACAAGCCCCACGACCAAGCATCTACAACCCCCAGCTATTACAACAATGGCAACAAAAAGAGGTGAGGAAGAAACAGAGAACAAATTTTGAAATTGAAATGCAAAAAAAAAAAAAAAATGTTAAAGTTAAAGAACCAAGTAGAGAAACCAACCAACGGATTCTCCAATAAACCACTGGATTCAAGCAATCCAATGTTGAATTTTTTTGGTATGCTAATGAAGTGAAGACAAAAAAGTGCCAAGTGATTTGGACAAATTGAGATAACAGAGATAGAAGGGCACTGAGAAGTTTAGATACTTGGGTTACTTTCAGACTTAGAGAAAGGGAGAAGACTACCACCAAATGTTCCATGACACTCACTGCTATGCCTGGCTACAGAACTGCATGAACTAATAAACTGAAAATGGAAAACAGTTCATATGTAATATTGCTTACCTTGGTTATCTGTTTTCGGAAATGGGGCATCTTTTTCATCAATTGGGTAAGAGCACTAAGTGATGTCTAAAAAAAAAAAACCCAAATATTTAAAAAGCAAACTTAGTTATTCTATAATAACAACCTTTAAATCTTGCAATCTTAGGTTTTTAATTAACTATGTATTTAGCAGTGTTTTTTTTTTCTTTTGGGGGGGTGGCCACACCCAGTGATGCTCAGGGTTACTCCTGGCTCTGCACTCAGGAGTCACTTCTGGCCAGTGTTGAGGGGAACATATTGGATGTTGGGGATCAAACCCACGTTGGCTGCATGCAAGGCAAACACTCTACCTGCTATACTATCACTTTACCCCCATTTAGAGGTTTTTAATGAAAACAAATCTAAAAGCTCTTTTTTGTTTTAGCCATGATAAAATAATATCAAAATGGTAAGAATTGGGTAGAAGGCTGGAGATATAGTACAGCAGGTAGGGCAAATGTCTTACATGTGGCCAGGCAAGGTTTGGTTCCTAGCATTGCGTATGATCCTCTGAACACCATCAGGATTGATCCCTGAGCACAGAGCCAGGAGTGAGCCCTGAGAACTGGATGTGGCCCCCAAAACAAATGACAACAAAAAATAAGGGTAGATTGTCAACACTGGGGTACAAAATTTGCAGGCGTGGTGTCGAAGTTTTCTATATCTAGATTTTTTTCTGACAATATGCACTTGTGAAAACACAGGACTGCATACCATAGGGTAAGTAATTTGTGACTCCATTTTTAAAAGAATACATTTAGGAGCCAGGGAAAAGCTTAAAAGGCTAGCTGACATGTGTTTGATCCCTGGAACTACATGGTCCCCAGGGCACTGTACCAAGAGTAGACCCTGAGCACCACTGGGTGTGACCCAGAAATAAAAATAAAATAAAAAGACTACATTTAATAGCATTTAACAACAGACTGCACAAAACAGAATTAGAAATAGAGAACTCAAAGTCAGGTAAATCGAAAATACTCAAAGTAGAGAGGGAAACTTAGGGAGCGGTACAGGTACAGATATATAAGAAAGGTAGTATAAGGTCAAAGGATTTCTTTATGTGTTTGGTGCCAGGGATTAAACCCAGGGCCTCACGTATGCAAAGCATGTGCTCTATTTTATCTCAGCTTAGATCTAAAATGGTGATTGGAATACCAGAAGTAGAGGAGAAAGAAAAGGAAGTAAATCAAGATATGAGGAAATAATGCGAAGAGTTATCAGCTTGGTAATATAAGAAGCTGAGAAAATTCCAAATATCAATAAAAATATATCACAGGAAGATATATCTTGGTTAAATTGCTAAAAAAAAAAATCAAAGACAGATCTTTTAAAAGGCATGTTATCTTTAGGAAAAAAACAGTAACATGACTGCTAACTTAACAGAAATTGTGGTAACCAAAAGATAATTACTGAAATATGTATTTTTGTTTGTTTTGGGTCACAGCCAGCAGTGCTCAGTACTTTTTAAAAAAATTTTATTAGTGAAACACTATGAGGTACAGTTATAGATTTACAAATTTTTGTGCTCGGTTTTTGATTATATAATGATCAAATACCCATCCCTCCACCAGTGCCCATTCTCCACCACCAATGATCCCAGTATCCCTCCCACCCCCCATCCCCCCCATCCCACCCTGCCTCTGTGGCAGGGCATTCCCTTTTGTTCTCTCTCTCCTTTTGAGTGTTGTGGTCTAGTGCTCAGTAATTTTTGCTCTGCACTCAGGAATCACTCCTGGTGGACTTGGGGGAACACACGGGAGGCTGGGAAACAAACCTGGGTCAGTCACAGGTAAGGCAAGTTCCCTACCCATGTATTTCTCTGACTCAAATCTATCAAAATCTTTATTTTTTTAGTTAAATGTTTAAGAGTGTGTGTGTGTGTGTGTGTGTGTGTGTGTGTGTGTGTGTGTGTTGCTATGGAGCAAACCCACGTAAAATCTTTAGATTGCTGAAAGGAAAAAGAAAAACTGCTAACACTGAATTCTGAATATAGCAAAAGTGTCTTTGAAAGCTTACAAAACAAAGATAACTTCAGAAAAAAATGAAAGTTGAAGGACTTCATTTACCCCTGATGGAAAACTGAAGAATAGTAAGGGAATAAGTAACAGAAGACTGGAATAATACATGGATAATAAGAAAGTCAATGGAGTATTTTTTAAAATGTTTGTCACTGTCACTGTCCTCCCGTTGTTCATCGATTTGCTCGAGCGGGCCAGTAACGTCTCCATTGGGGACTTTGTTGTTACTGTGTCTGGCATATCGAATACATCACGGGGAGCTTGCCAGGCTCTGCCGTGCGGGCGAGATACTCTCGGTAGCTTGCCGGGCTCTCCGAGAGGGGCGGAGGAATCCAACTTGGGTCGGCCATGTTGGCCGCGTGCAAGGCGAACGCCCTACCGCTGTGCTATTGCTCCAGCCCTTTAAAATGTTTAGTTTACAATATATTAAGAAGTACAATATCTGGCAATAGTAAGACAGAGAAAGTAAATAGTTAAACCATTAAAAGATTCTTGAATGATTCAAGATATTAGCCACTGTCACTGTCACTGTCCTCCCGTTGTCCATCGATTTGCCCGAGCAGGCCCAGTAACGTCTCCATTTTGAGACTTCTTGTTACTGTGTTTGGCATACCGAATATGTCACAGGGTAGCTTGCCAGGCTTTGCCACGCGGGCAAGATACTCTCGGTAGCTTGCCAGGCTCTCCAAGAGGGGCGGAGGAATCGAACTCGGGTCAGCCATGTTGGCCACTTGCAAGGCAAACGCCCCATCCACTGCGCTCCAGCCCAAGACATAGCCAAAGTATACTTTAATGTAAATTGTGATAAGGTAATGACACATTCTAAATATATCTATCATAATGTTTAGTATCATAGGATACTAAAAGATATATTTAAAATTTACACTGAAGAGGAAATACTTTTCTTAAAAACCACACTGCAATAGATACAAGGCAGAAAAGGGAAAACCAATAAAATGAAATGAGATGGTAGACATAAAACTATATCAATAATTACCTGAAATCTATATGGGCTAAGTATTAGAGAACAAAGATGATTATGTTGAATAAATAAACAAAACTCAACTACTAGTACTTTTCAAGATGCCCTAAAACAAAAAGTCAGATAGTTCAAAGTATGGAATGGGAAAGATACATTATGTGATCACTAAACAAAATCAAGCAGGCACAGTTATAATGACACAAGACAAAGCAAGGCTTTAAAGCAAGAAATATTCCAAGTTGAAAATACTCCAAGATCGGGGGTATGGTGCCGCCAACAGGTCAATCTGTAGCTGTGAGGCGAGTGCATCAGCAGCCTGATGGCGCCTTCAGACTTCCAGGTACCCCAAAATTGCTGCTGTGCCTTTGGCCAGATCCCAAAAACTTGGGGCAAAGTTTACCAAGAAAATAAACGGCCAAAAGTTAGGTATGTGGGAAACACACCCACAAACCACCTCTGGCTCAGCTATATAATTGGAGGCATGGCCTCTCTGGTTCCTGATTGAACTGCTTAATGGCCATGATCTCAGAGACTAAGAAGCAAATTTTGAAACCCAGTGGCTTTTGGCAGAGATGCATCCAGTCCCTGCAGTAGGTTACTGGTGCTGGGCCAACCCAGGTGGGAATAGGTTTAGTGCCTTGGCCTGTTCCCCTGGGCGGCCCAGTGGCTGCCATCCTTCAGAGGCCACCGGAAAGTCAGGTTTGGGCCCCCAGTGATAAGACACGCAGGGCCTCACAAGATGGGGGTGGAGCCGGTCCTGTATTCCCCACCCCAACGAGACCCCAAGTCATTGCCCATGAATGGCCTCTCTTGCTTCTGATCAAGCTGCTTAATGGCCATGATCCCAGAGAATCAGAAACAAATCTCGAAACCCAGTGGCTTTTGGCAGAAATGCGTCCGTCCGGACCCCACACTACGTTACTGTCGCCGAGCCACCCCAGGGGGGAAAGGGTGTTGTCACTCTGCCTGCTCCCCCTTGGCGGCTCAGTGGCATCATCCTCCAGAGGCCATTGGAAAGTCAGGTCTGGGCCGGCAGTGACAAGACATTTTGGGCCTCATGGGATGGGGGTGGGGGGGACTAGGCCTGTCCTCCCCACCCCGAGACCCCAAGTCATTGCCCATGAACGGCCTCTCTGGCTCCTGATCAAGCTGCTTAACAGTCATGATTCCAGAGACTAAGAAACAAATCTTGAAACCCAGCAGCTTTTGGCAGAAATGCATCCAGACCCTGCAGTAGGTTATTATCGCCGGGCCACCCCAGGGGGGAATGGGTGTTGTCCCTCCGCCTGCTCCCCCTTGGAGGCTCAGTGGCCGTCATCCTTCAGAGGCCATTGGTCAGGTCTGGGCCCGCAGTAACGAAACTTGTTGGGCCTCACAGGATGGGGGTGGAGCTGGTCCTGGTCTCCCCTTCCCAATGAGACCCCAAGTCATCGCCCACGAACGGCCTCTCTGGCCCTGATCAAGCTGCTCAACGGCCATGATCCGAGAGACTCAGGAGCAAATCTTGAAACCCAGCAGGTTTTTGGCAGAAATCCCTCCAGATGTAAGTATTAGTATTTCGGAATTTCAAAATCACATGGCCCTACTGCAGCCACACGACATCATATGTTATTCATAACCAGCAATAGAACACAAATTGTCTACTGTTGCCTTTCAGCAGATCTGAGTATTGGGGTAAAATCTCAAATAATTATGGTGGGTCTAGTGTCGAAATATTGAATGTGATCAAAGTAGAGAGAGAGTAACGTGGAAATCATCTTCCTCACAGGTAGGGGAAGGGTGTGGGATGGGGATATACTGGGGTTTTTGGTGGTGGAGAATGGGCACTGGTGAAGGTACGAGTGTTTCATTGTATGACTGAGACTTAGATCCGGAAGCTTTGTAACTGCTCTCACGGTGATTCAATAAATAAAATTATAAAAAAAAGAAAAAAAAAGTAAGGTGGAGTTCATGCACAATTCAATCAGCTAATCAGTGGCTGAATAAATAGCAGTACTCCTACATAAAAAAAAAAAAAAAGAAAATACTCCAAGACAAAAAAAGGTATTTTATGATAGTCGAAGGACAGGAACCAGAAAGATGATCCAAAATTTATAATAGTTCTGATATGGCTTTATTAGATGATACACCTTTACAAGTTGACAGAAAGGTAGTATTTGAAATTGTAGATATATCAGAAAACAGCTTAAACAATTCAGTGTCTTAAAACTAATAATAGAAATAACTGAAAGTCTGAATAGTTCTAATTCAATTAACTTATAGACTTTCCCATAAAGAAAATTTCCTGCCTAGACTTCTTTAATGTTTTTGTTCTTTCAGACATTAGTGAATCAAATAGTAGAACAGTTTTGAGAATAAAACAAGGAAAGCATTACAACTCATTCAAAGACCAATATAATCTCATTAACAAAACCTGACAAGATTACCCCCCTTGTAAAAAAGAAATATTATAAGAAAACATTTCTTGCCCATTTGAAAGAAAACATTCTAAAGCAAAGTATTAGCAAATAGAACCCAGTGACACAGGAAAAGGATAATGTAATATGACCAGTGGCTCTTATTCCGGGAATGCATGGTTGATTTAAAGACTCAACTACTGTAATTAACAGTGACACAATAAAGAAGAAATTTCAAAAGATGATGAAAAAGTATTAGTTGAAATCCTTTCCCGATTTAAAAAATCCTTGTTGACAAATTAAGAATAGTAGAGAACTTCCTTAATTTGATAAGGACATATCTGAAATAACCTAAACTTAACATAATACTCAATGATAAAATACTGAACAAGTTTCCCTAAGGTTGGCAATGACACAAGGATATCACCTATCAACAGTTTTATTTTCCATTATACCAGAGTCTTTTACAGCGCTAAGAAAGTATTAATCACCAGGAAACGTAGTTTAAAATGTAAAAAGATTGGAAAGGATCAAGTTACATTTTCTTTATTTACAAATAAAATTACTGGGTTCTCTTTTAGAATGATGGGGATATTTTGAAGTAGGTTGTGATTTAGATTTATTTCTAAGTAAAACTTTAGCTATTATATATTTTATATTTGTACATATACTGTAACATAAAAAAATATAACAAGGTGAACTGGCTAGTCTTTTGAAAATAAACTTCAATGAAGCAAACAAATGTTGCTAACTTTCAAGCTAGATAAAAAATCCATAGGTATTAATTTTGTCTACTTTTATGTATGTTAAAATGAAAGCTAAAAAAAGCTTAAAATAACCTTTAAAATTAACTATCATTATTTTGACTCACCTTTCCTTCTGTCGCTTTCTTTGTTGATGAAATTTCCTTCATAAGCTTAGGGATTTCCCTGTCAAATTTTAAGAGAATCATTTTGAATTTCAAAGGTGTCATTCTTTTTAAGAAATCTTTAAAGATTACAAAACTTGATTTAAAATAGATCCACATACTCTAACACGACAGCAATGTGCCGATGGCGAATCCTGACCCAGAGGTCATCGTCTTCCTCAAGGACGGCCTCTTTCTCCTTCCCATCTGTTTTGTATCTAGAGCAGAGAGACGTATGAAATTCCTTGGAGTGCACCTTCTACCCCCATGAAGTAGGTGAATTACAAACAACAATCCCAAAACATCAGTTTGAAAACTGAAGAGCATACATAATCAATCTACTATTTTAGGAGAATAATCAATACCAGTATAAAACTAAGCCAAGACGTTTTTAGTTTCTGGTGTAAGGTTTATATCTGTTTTCATTATACAGTCTTAGCTGAGCCAAATGGTATTTCATGAAATAAAAATTTGATTCTCCGGTCAACTTGAATAAGAAAATTGAATATACTAATAATAACTTATCATATGTAATTGCTTTAAATCTATTTTGATGATTAATAACCATCAATAAAACTATCAAATATCATTTAAATAGCAATGTCAATTCTAAAGTAGCCTATTGAATATTAAAGGTATTTCAGAATTCATATAAAATTCACAAATATTTACCACATATTTCTATACACTTCTTCCCTTTAACCACATCTCCTTTAAAGAATGGGAAAGGAAATGAGAGAAGCTAATGGAGACACACAAAAATCGTGGTTAGGGGCTGGAGCAACAGCACAGTGGGTAGGACATTTGCCTTGCACGCAGCTGACCCAGGTTCAATTCCCAGCATCCCATATGGTCCCTTGAGCACTGCCAGGAGTAATTCCTGAGTGCATGAGCCAGGAGTAATCCCTGAGCACTGCCAGGTTTGACCCAAAAAGGGAAAAAAAAATTGTGGTTAGACCTAGGTTTGATTTCTGGCATCCCAAATGGTCCCCTGAGCCTGACAGAAGTGATTTCTGAGTGCAAAGCCAGGAGTGAGCCCTGAACAGGTGTGACCCTCACAAAATTTTTTTTTAATTAAATGAGTTCTACTTAAAATTACTCAAAGTAGGTTTCATGATTATTTCTCTGAATATAATGCTTTCTTATTTCAGCAGAGAACCTCCATTTGTGGAGCTTGGGAAATTCATTCTTCTTTAGGATTGTCAACTTCCTATACCAAGATTAGGAAGGACAACACTAAGTTTTTCTAGTTCTGGACTGTAGGCAATGAACAAATTTCTGCTGTCTGAATATAATTATTTTCACAGACATCCCCCAAATCCTGCATTTAAAGTCTACATATAAAACCATCTATCTGAATGGCCCAAATTATAGAAGACCAAAGGTAGAAAGATGCCACTTAATTTTAAGACTGCAATAGAAGTCTGTAGGAGAATAGCAAGGCTTCGCTGAAAATGCCAATATGGATTTGGAGATTATGGTAGCAAAGAATATATTAAATATATTACATATGCCAGACACAGTAACAACAAAGTCTCCAATGGAGACGTTACTGGGCCCGCTCGAGCAAATCGACGATCAACGGGAGGGCCTTTACCTTTATATATTACATAGGTATACTCAAATACAAAAGTATAACAGTAAACAGTCCTTTGAGTCAGTGTTGGGCTTGGTTAGTACTTGGATGAGAGTAAACAGTCCTTTGATAAATTGTGTCATTTTCTTTTTCTTTCTTTTTTTTTTTTTTGCTTTTCAGGTCACACCCGGTGATGCACAGGGGTTACTCCTGGCTCTGCACTCAGGAATTACTCCTGGCGGTGCTCAGGGGACCATATGGGATGCTGGGAATCGAACCCAGGTTGGCCACGTGCAAGGCAAACACCCTACCTGCTGTACTATAGCTCCAGCCCCAACTGTCATTTTCATTTAGTTTTTTATTTGACATTGCTTTCTTTACCTCCAGTTTTACTGAGCTTTAAATGACTTACATTATTGCGTAAATTTGAGATGTGTGATTACTTTTGGTTTGGTAGCACATCCAGAAGTGTCAGGGAAAGAACCAAATCCTTCTGCATATAAAACAGCCCTTCGAACTATCTCCCCAGTCCTGTATCATTACATTTAAAGTAAAACAGACTATTAAGAGGGTCATTAATAGGTTCTAAAGTGGCTAAGACAGTCTATTCCCAAGAATTACCTTACTTCCTTTACTAGCAGTGCTCAGAAGTCCAGGGGCCTTACTGGCAGCAATATGCAGCTGGCAGTGTTGGATATGACAGGCACTTGGAGCCACTAGGGTCACACTTGGTGATGCTCAGGGGGCCATACAGTGCAAGGGATCGAACCTGGGATCCTGCACATGTAAAGCATTCACTCCAACTCTTATGTCTCTCTCCCTATCCCTTAATAGATTATATGGACAAAACACACACACAGATACTTTTGTGTTGGTGACTCAGCATTATTAAAGCCTGGACAATTTAAAAATGGTTTCCACTTCAATAAATGTAATAACGGGCTTGGTATATATACTCTTAAGTGAAAAGTCCAAATCCACCTGCTTAACTGTAGTTTTGTTGTAGACATAGTTATGAAAGCAAATGCGCACACACACAGACGCACAGACACACAAACACACACACCACCAGTGAAATAAAAGTATCCATTAACTTAGAAGGTTAAGATAACAGGATGATTATAGTTATAAAAGAAGGTGAAAGTCTGAATGAAAAGGGCTAGCAGGACAATAGTTTCTGGTGCCTGTATGAATCATTAAATGCTCATATCCTACACTGTTAGCATATGTCCTTTAAGTTATACTTGCTTGTATGTGTCATTCTCAATTGGTAGCAGATCATATGCCATTGCCTGAAAAGTCAGTTCATGCAGGACAGTGGACACAGGATCAAAGCCACGATCAATGATTATGAGCTGGGAATGAGTTTTACCCTGGAAGAACAAGATAAAATCATCTTAAATTTTAATAATCTCTTAGAAAAGCAGACTTTTCCTAAGTTCTACCCATTCTCCCCAAAAACACACTCAAAGAAAATTACCTTAGGACTATGAAGTGATGATACATTAAAATATAAAAGTTAGTAGGGGACTAATAAGACTAGAAAACCTAAATTCTTCATAATTTGATTGAGACATTCAACACAATTTTCTGGAAAATTCCTTTAAAAAACTAGCATTTGGTTTATAGTAAATCTATTTTCTTTGGAATAAAGTTCCAAAAATAACGAAAATGGTACAAATTACGAATGGTTTATTCTCTGAGTTACTTGCATTACACACTGTGTTAAGGCAGAAATGTATGTATTATTTTTTATCGCAATCCTGTGAAATGTATTGTTATCTAAGAGGGGACTGACTTGTTCAAATTACATAGTAAGTAAGTAAAGTAAGTAAGTTCTGAAAAAAATTCAGACCTAAGAGAGTTTTGCTCGAAGATTTTACTCTCAAATAGCTTTACTCTGAGATATTTACTCTTAATCACAATGGTATATTAAAAACACACAGAGAATTAGCCAATAAGATAAAATGCAAACTCGCAGCACTAATTATTAAGCAGTGAATACTGAAAATAGTGTTAATATTAGAATCTTTACAAATTATTTAAAAAAGCAGTAATTTGGGGGAATTGTTATAAAAGCAGTTAGGGGACATAGAGGAGAGCAATAAACTAGATACGGTAAAAATTTAAAGTACTTTAACCATTTACTCATTTAAATAAACTTTGAAAAAATAGTTAAGTGCAGACAGAAATGAGATCTAGTCTTGACTATTTTCTTGCTGTTTGACTTTGGACAGACAGCCTAACCTGTTAATACTGTATATTCTCATTTGTCAAGTAAAATATAATCCAAAAATCTGTAAGATTATTACAAAGATCAAACTAATTTACACCATGAGATATTTAGCACAGTACCTCAATACATATCAGTTACATATGTTCTTTAGAACATTAATAATATAAACAGTGCTAAGTTAAGTGCTATATCAGGTACTGGGATTATGTGGGAGAAGAATCACATGACCTGGAGAAGGAAAAGCTCCACTATGAAATTGACACTTTACTAGGTCCTGGAATGAATGAAAGGTATTCAAGTATCTGAAGAATATATAATTTCTCAGGAAAAATGAGAAAGACATGTTTGATTTTATGAATTTTGTCTTTTAATTAAAATCATGAAGGACTAAAAGGATATTCACTAACATATCCTTGAGGTTGGCCCCTAGCTCTCCCTTATTAACAATTACTGCCTGCTATGTTGTGCACTAGGCCATGTCTTCCTAAGTATAACCAGAACAATAGCTTTCAGTGAACTATCAAATCAAAACTGAGTAACTTTTATATCCCATTATATTTAAACTTACATCCTTCATTCTTCGCCAAGTTATTTAACTGTGAATTTTGCATTCCAGTTGTTTCCGCTCCCCCAAATCATATTGTCTAAGCAATAACTCCCGCTTTGATCATGATACATTTCTTTTTCAGAAGGGTCTCATTCCATGCAATTCCTTCTTTGTTTTTTTTTGGTGGGAGGTATGTTAGGATCACATTCCTTCCCCTCCCCTGGCTTTCAGGCCACACCTGGAAGTGCTCAAGCGTTACTCCTGGTTCAGTACTTGAGGTTGCTCCTGATGGTACTCAGATGGTACTCCTGCAATGTTGGGGAACAAACCTGGACCTCCTACATACAAGGCATGCACTCCAGCCTATTATCTCTCCAGCTCCAAAATGAGTGTTCCTATTCTCCCTTTAATAAATAAGAAAAGTCATGCATGCATGCATGCTGCTAACCCGGGTTCAGTCCCAGGTGACATGGGTCGTCTCCTGAGAACAGAGCCAGGAGTAAACCCTCAGCACAGTCAGGTATAAACAAACCAAAAAGAAAAAAGAAAAGTCAGGCATAGATAAGTCACTAATTGCCCAATTGACAATAACTATAAATTAAATGGCAAACCAAGGATTTGGATTTATTGCTTATTTCAAAATCCATACACTCACCACTACAACAGATTATTAAAGTTTCTACTACCATATACTTTTAAATGTCCCCAAATTAATACTGAAAACAAATAAACAGTTCCTTATTTATAAATTTACAAGAAAACTTGTTACATAATAACTATTTGCACTGTAAATAGTTATTACCTTTATTTGACTTCTTTCATCAATCTTGTAGTAGTTTTCAAGTTTTTTGTCAACAAGCTGGGCAAGTTTGCTGGCATTATCTAGAGGTTTACTAGAAAGAAAAAAATGTTCCATTGTTTTCCTTCAAGACACTACAGGATCATAAATGGAATTCTAAATCAGACCATGCAATTTATTAATTTGAAAGATTTTTATAAATATGAATGTTTTGATAACATTCAATATTTGAACTTTAGAAATATAAAACATACTTCATAAAATTTTTGTGATAAAAATTATTTTTAAAAATAGGAATTTCATTTATTATACTTCCAATTCCTGGTCTTATTTCCTATCCCTATGTCACATTGTCACACATCTAAGTAACCACTAACAATAATTTAAATTGGCATGTATTTGGTTAACAATGCCTGCTATTCACATATATGTGGTATTATTTACACATACAACCATACATATATATATATAATATATGCCTGAAATCTATGTTGACACACAGAAAATTTATTTTAGCTAAATACAATTTTCCATAACATTATTGGATTCTACATATTCATTCTCCTAAAGATATAAATTTAAGTCATTTAAATGTTATAATGCTAAAACATGTTTTAGTACATACAGTCCCATATACATATTTCTTTAAGCCCATTGAAGGGAGGAAGGGAGGGAAAGAGGGAAGAAGGGGAGAAAGGGGGAGAGGAGGAGAGAGGGAGATGGGGGGAGAGAGAGAGAGCGAGCGAGAGAGAGAGCACAAGAGAGCAAGCACAGCTGGCCCAGATCAAATCTCCACCACTGCCTCTAGTTCCTGAGCACTGCTAAGGGTGATCCCTGAGCACAGAGTAATCCTTGAGCACAGCTTGGGGCAGCCATCCTCAAATGGAGGTGTAACTGATGGGTAAGTGGAGTAGGAACATTTTCCAACTTTTTAAGATATTACCAGAAGTCTCCTAGTTAGTTGACAATCCTTCCTCGAGTGTGAGAATTCTCTTCATGAAATATAGCATTTAGTCACCTTTCCAATATATATTTTTACATTAAATCTTAGATCACCTGTCTTCTAAAAGATTAAAATCAATACTCTAAATTGTAACTTAACAACCAGAAGAATTTAGTGTAATTTCTCTGGGTCTACAATAAAAATTCTGAAAAAGGTTCTTCAGCTTAGCGTGCCCTCAAAAGTGGAATCTCACTGTGAGGATTTCAGAGTGTAAAGAAACTTTAGGTCTTGTATCTTAGAAATAAATAAAGCAGCTACTATAAACAATAATTACAATTTTCGTTTAAGAGTTTTAAAAATAAGTGATTACTTGCTAGAATTATACTCTAAAAATTACTGAAGTTTAGGGCTGGAGCAATAGTATGGCGGGTAGGGAGCATCACTTGCCTGCAGCAAACCTGGGTTTAAATCTTGGTACCTCACATGGTTCCCCAAACCCTACCAGAGGTGATCCCTGAGTCAGGAGTGAGATCCCGGGGGTGAACACTGGTGTGGCCCAAAAACAAAACAAAAATTCACTAAAGTATAAAGAATACTTTGAACAGTTAGATTTCAGGAAGCCTGGACTATTATTTAAACTCATTACAGTAACTCAAAACAGGTCTAAAGGTAAGTTATTTAATTATAAATTAGTAATATTTACTAACTTCCTAGAACATAACTAATCAATGAGTATAATCTTAATACTGAACTCCAGCATAATATAAATCACTTAGCTCAGCCTTACTGATTGAGTCCACTGTCACTGTCCTCCCGTTGTTCATCGATTTGCTCGAGCGGGCCCAGTAACGTCTCCATCAGGAGACTTTGTTGTTACTGTGTTTGGCATATTGATTACGTCCCGGGGAGCTTGCCAGGCTCTGCCGTGCGGGCGAGATACTCTCGGTAGCTTGCCGGGCTCTCAGAGACTGACTGAGCCTATAATATAATAATATATCATATACATGAAGAATCTTCTACTACCTGAGTTATGAGTAAAGAGCTTGTTTGCTAATTAAAGAAATATGCTAAATTCTTTCTAGGCAATTAAAAAAGTTTAAGAGGTTAAGCATAATATAAAGTGCGAAATTAATTTAAAATCAATTAACTTGACAAATGCTGGTGTTCTAATTGAAGAAAAAAATTATGGGGGGCCACACATGACTTTAAAAGAAAACAAAATAAAAATAAGCAAACAAGACATCAAATTTTTTTTAAAAATCTGCGTATTAAACAAACTGCTTAAAATAAAGATACCATACTGACATGCAACGTATCATTTAAAGTGCTAATTTTCAAGATATACAAAGCACTCACAAAGCCCAACAACAACAGAAAAACACACGGCAAAGAGACAGTTTAGTGGGCAGGGTGCTTGCCCTGCATGCAGTCAACTGGGGTTCGGTTCCCAGCACCTCGAGCCCCACCAGGAGTGATCTGAAAGCAGAGACAGCAGTAAGCCCTGAGCACTGCTAGATGTGGGTCACTTTACTCTCCAGGAAAATAAACAAACAAAAAAACAACCTACCCAAAAATGAATCCAAAAAAAGTCACAACATAAAAAAATTGTGTGAGGAGATGAAAAGACTCTTCCCCAAAGAAGACAAAAGGATATCCAGTAGGCGTATGAAAAAGTGCTCATCACCAATTATTATCAGAGAAATGCAAATCAAAACAACAGTGTGATACCATCTCAAACCCCTGAGACTGGCATAAATCAGAAAGACCAGAATCAAACAGTGTTGATGGGGATGTGGTGAAATAGGAACCCTCATTCACTGTTCTGGGAAAGTCATCAGGTTTAGCCTCCATGGAGAAGCATTATGGAGATTCCTTAAAAAAAAAAAAAAAAAGAAAACTGCCATCTGACCCAGAAATTCTAGTTCTTAGCATCTACCTCAAAACACAAAATATTAATTCAAAAAGAACACTCCTGTGCTCACTGCAGTGCTTAACAAAACAGCCTGCATAAGAGTCAAGATATAAAAACAAACGTTCAATGATTGATGAATAAAGAAGTTGAGGTTAAGGGTCAGAAAGATAGTACAGGAGGAAGTTGCCTTGCTTGCAACTTATTTTTAATTTTATTATTATTAATTTTAATCCCCAGGACCCTGAGCTCCACCAGGAGTGATACCTGAGCACAGAGCCATGAGTAAGCTCCAAGTAAAATCCAGGTGCAGTCCAAAAATGAAAACAAACAAAAAAGCTGTGCATAAACACAAAAGAGGACTCAGCATTGAATCTGAAAGACAGCAACTTGCTGGAGATCCAGACCCTGTGCAGAGCTGATTTCATCAGGTCTCCTCAGATGGAGCGGGTGTCCTCTCTTCACCCACTCCAAATGAACTCCCAGTGGCCACAAACTTCCAGAAGAAAAACCCAGATATGCAGGACCAGGGAATGAGGACTCCAGGACACATGGCGACTGCAGTGACTGGTTGTCCCTTCTGTCTCCCCTTTAGGGTCCTGGCTGTCACACCCATGAACTACCTCTGGGTGCTATTTAATTGAGTCAATGGCCTTGATGCAGATACTCCCAAATGAATCTCAGAATGGATTAGCTCCCTACAGAGATGTCTCCAGACCCCAATCATTTACAATTTTAGAATTCCAGGAGCACACGGCCACCTTTGTGGCCATGCAACCTCTCATGATACTCATAATGCACTGTAGCACTGTCCTCCCATTCATTGATTTGCTCGAGCGGGCAGCAGTAGAGTCTCCATTGTGAGACTTGTTGTTACTGTTTTTGGCATACTGAATACGCCACGGGGAGCTTACCAGGCTCTGCCATGCAGGTGGGATACTCTTGGTAGCTTGTTGGGCTTTCCGAGAGGGGTGGAGGAATTGAACCCGGGTCACCCGCATGCAAGGCAAATGCACTAACTGCGGTGATATTGCTCCAATATTCATACTAAGCAATAGAAAATAAATTATCTAGAATCGCCTGTGGCAGGCAGGCTTGAATGGTAGTGGGAAAATTCGAAATAATAGTAGTGGGAAGATGTAATGGTGATGGAATTGGAGTTGAAATATTGATTGTAAACAATGTGAACCTTATGAAAATAAAATTTAAAAATAAAAAAAACACAAAATAACACTATGCAGCTATAAGAAAAGATGAAATCATGCAGTTTGCAGCAAAGCAAATGGAAATGAAGGGTGTCATGTTATGTAAAATGAATCAGAGAAAGAACAAACACTGGATAATCTCATTCAACTGCGGAATATATAGAGGAAAAAATAAGAGCACAGACAGTATCAAACAATAACAAATCCTTGGTCTTGATTACAAAACTCATTCCCAAGCAGTGGGTGGAGGAATGAAGAGGAATTGATTAGACTAAAGGTGCCACAGGACTGCTGTAGAGTTCTATGTACTTTGGTGACAGGTAAATGCAGTAACTTTGGACATTAATACTGTACATTTTAACACTATTATAACCATGTTACTTAAACTATAATAATAATCTTTAAAAATCAATGGCCACAGGATTAGATTCGTAGACGTTGTAATAGCAATGAAGAGAATGAGGATTAAAATTTGGTGAAAATTTAAACTATTAAAGAGCGTATTCCTTATATGACAATAAAAACATTTCCTCTAAATATTCCTTAAATTCATAAAATTCAGTAAACCATACTAATTTAAGCTCTAAAATTCAGTAACAGAGGGTATTATGTTCATCTGACATTTAAACCTTACTCTTAGGGTGTTTCTGTCTGGGGGGGGCCTCACTGTCACTGTTCTCAGGGTTTAGTCCTGGCTCTGGGCCCAGGAATCCCTCTGAGCTTGTGGAAGACCATATACACAGTGACTGGAATGGAATCAGGGTCGGCTGTATGTAAGGGAGGCATCTGACCCTCTGTACTATCTCTCTGGCCCTTAAACCTGGCACTTGAACTGTACGTAGAATTCTACAAGGAAAATAAATTCTGCAAACCAATACACATTACCTCTACACAGAAGAGCAAACAGGAAGCATAACGTATACAGACACCAATGCCTATATTACCTTTTATATCTTACTCCAGGATTTTCATCCAGGGCAGCACATACTGTAACTATCTGTTCAGCCATTGCTTCCATAACGGCATCTTTTCCGTTTGCATTACTAGGGTCTGGACTATAACAGTAATAGAATGCATCTGGTACATCAAGAGTATATACCTGGGTCAGGGAAAAAAATAAGTCACACAGTCTGAAAACTTGATTAAAAAGTTTGTATACACACATATAAAGAAAAATGCAGCTATTATTTAAGATATTTAAAACAATTACTGATGATGCTATTTCCTTAAACACTATCTAAAATCTGTCATCATGATTTCATTAAATGTTTCTTTTCTCACCTTCCTTTCCTGCTTTAAGCTACCTCCTTCCTTCAATGCTTGGTTCGCATACATTGTACTGTCTGTTTTTCAGTATCTGCACAGTGGATGAGGAATCTGTGCTAGTCAAACTGAAACAGAAATCTAATTCCTGACACACAAAAATACAACAAAGCCAAACTGCATACTGGACATACATTAAGACCCCCAACCCATTAGAATATAACTTAGAAAATTCCCATAGATGAAAATCATAATTTTTATTGTTTTTTTGTTTTGGCCCAGCAGTGCTCAGGGCTTATTCCTTACTCCTGGCTGTGTTCAGAGCACTGCTCAGGGATTACTCCTGGTGGGGCTCCGGGGACCATATGGGGTACGGGGGATCAAATCCAGATTAGCTACATGCAAGGCAAGTGTCCTACCTGCTGTACTATCACTCCAGCCCACCACCCCCCAAAATCATCACCTTTAAAGTTTGTATTATTCATGTTCTTAAAATAGAGATATACTGCTCCAAAAGACACATCACTGTGATAAGTACAGTATTGGTTTTACTATAAATACAAAGCTCAAGGGCATATTTATTCAACAAAAGCATTAACTTCTGTTCAAAGAATTGAATTATATAGTTTTGCTATTACTACGTTAATTGAACAATAAAAAAGAATCAGCACTCTGATTGAGAGCTCTCCTATTAACTATTTATCTGAGATAGCAATCTACCCATAACTCTGTATGGAGAACTGAGTAAAGTAGGTATGTAATAAAAGTTAAAGGTTAAGTGAAGAATCATTAACAAACTTCTTACACTTCCTGTCACACAAAATCACTCATTTCTGTGACTATAATCCATCACCAAAAGTGGCTGTCTCAGCCTGGACAGAGAGAGAATGGCAACTGACAGCCCAGCTATGGTCACTGGAAAGTGATGAAGTGTTCATGTGCCACATCTCTCCAGGATCTCTTTTTTTTCCCTTCAAAATTTTGGGTGGATCACACTTGGCAATGATTCATACTTTACAGTGCCAGAAATTGAACCCAGGAGTCCCTTTGGGTTATCTCCGGGGCCCCACAGGTGCTATTTAAAAGCCAGGTGGTTCCCGGGTCAGAGCAATTATACGGTGGGTAGGGTGATTGCCTTGTACACAGCTGACCCGGGTTAGATCTCTGGCATCACATATGGTCCCCCAAGCCTACCTGGAGTGATCCCTGATTGCAGAGAAGAGTAAACCCTAAGCACCACTCATTGGGTAGGACCCAAAAGCAAAATTAACAATTTTTTGAAAGCCTGCTTGCTCCTCAAGGCTTGCTCTTAAATACAGCTGCTTGTCTCTATGTTTCTTTGCTTGCTTATTTCCACTCTGGAGATGCCTATGTTCCCTCTTCAACACATACTTCTCTCTCTCCCCTCACATATTTCTAAATGAGTTTCATTAAAAACTATTCTCTCTTTCCTCTCTCCCTCTCTGCATCCTTCCCCTCCCCCCCACGGTGCCCTCACGTCTCTCTTCCCTCTGCTATGTCCTGTTTAGGCTGCTCCTACACTCAGAATTTCAGAGTGAAGATCTGGAGCAAAACCCCAGACAACAAGAGGAAGGAGAAACAAGCCTTTGTTGGCAAAATGTGTTAAGATCTAGGCTGCGGCTACCACAGTGTAATCAATCTAAGCTACTAACACTCCAAAGAGTCAAGCAGAACTTGGGAGATGTATACGAGTCTGCACTCACAAGTCTTCTCTTGCATTTTCTCACTTTCTCCTCCCCACTTTCTATCTCCACCAGTACACTACCTTTACACTACCACCAGCTTCCTTATCTTTATGGCCCATGAACAGCCCCTTAAATATAACCTCCCCAGTATTTCATCTACTTTTCTTGCTAATCTATAGTTAATTTCTTCTCAGACATTATCTAGCACCCTCCATTCAATCAGATTCCATTCTCTAAGGTTCAATGTGAACAAACTCCTCTACATTCCTGAATGTGTCCCATAAATTTTCTTTAACATAATTTATGATAGCACTAAATATCGTACGCACCACAAAGAGAGGTAGTTTCCGGTTTATTTGGGAGGGGTTTGGGGTCACATCCTGCTGTGTTCAGGGCTACTGGCTCTGAGCTCAGAATCACTTCCGACACTACCCAAGGGACAATATGTGTGCAGGGATGGGCCCCGAAGCAGCCATGTACAAGGCAACTCAACCTCTGCTCTCCAGGCCCTGTGACCTGATTTTGTCATTGTCATTATTGTTGGGAGGCGGGGCACACCCAGTTGTGCTCAGGGTTTATTCCTGGCTCTGCACTCAGGGATCACTCATAGTGCTGTGCAGACCACGTAGAGTGCCAGGGATCAAACCCAGTTCAGCCTCATGCAAGGCAAGTGCCCTCCCTGCTGTAGGATCTATCCAATCCCGTTCTCTCTGCTGGCTTCTGTAGGCACATGAGGCCTATCTCTGCAGCTGCTGTGTCAGTAAGGAGGGCAAAGGCATTGTGGCAACAGAGATACCCTTCTTTCTGGGGCCTCAGATCTGACACCACAGTTAGTGCATGTCATGAAGTGGCAGCAGTCCCAATGCATGGGAAGGAGAGGTACAGTCTAGATTCTTCGTCTCCTCCTAGGAATTCAACTGAGTGGAAAACTACAGCACCTATACCCGCGTTTCATTCGGGACAAGAGTATCAGCCTCCACACTGCTTCCACCCTCCCACCCCAGGGCCCTCCGCAGGGTAGGCGACCCTGCTGTGCACATCCTCTGCTCTGAGCAACAACCTCCATGTGTCTCTCTCCACCCACTTTCTGTCCTACGACAGGGAAAGAGAGACAGTCTCCTCCATGTCCTCTACTGCAGTCTGTCTTGGTCTCTGACATTCAGGAGGTGCCTGTGTCTCACCTGGAGCTGCGGAATTCCATGTCCTTCTTTGTTGTTTCGTTATTTTGGGAGTGTAGCAAGAAATGCCCTGTGAAAACCTAATCTAACCTGGGAGTTTAAGATGTAAAATACTTGCATCTCTTTTATAAGCAGGACATATATCTTGTTCATCTTTTATAGCATATATTGTATCTAGCAGACAATGTCCACTGAACAAGAGTTTTATAAAAATTCATTATCGTGATAATCTGCTGTGACAGCTCAAAGAACTTAGTGATTTTTTTCTTTCAGATCTTTACTTGCAAACGAAATAAAAATATTTCCACTGATTTTTTCCATAACAAGGTTTGTTTTGTTTTGGGGACCCCATGGTGTGAAGGGCTTACTTCTGGCTCTGAGTTTAAAGAACGTTCCTGGAGGTGCTCAGAGGACCATATGAGGTACCAGGGATCAAGCCCGAGTAGGCTGTGTGCAAGGCAAGCACCCTTTGTCCTATCACTCAGCCAACAGTGAAAATCTTAAATTCCAGACAGTTATCAAGGTATTGAAAACAAAAACAAAAGCAAAACGCTCAAGGGAAAACCAGAAGCAGACAGGAACTTAAAATAGTCCCAACATTCTGCAAACACTGGTAATAGACTTTTTCATGAAATTATTTTATACACAATCAGCCATCAAATACGTCAGAAATCCATTTATTCCTCTCCCTCAAATACCCTGTTACAGAATTTTAGTAAAATTTAAGGCTCTACAACTGTATCTTTTGTGTTTCAAGGGGCTCTGGAAATCTCTGACATTTATCACACGATTGCTTATATCCCCCAGCATTAAACCCTATACTGTAATAATAAATCACATTAAAAAGAACAAGTGTAAAAGCGACTTTAGAGAACAGTTCAAGTTAATCAGATAATTTAAAATTTTACAATCTATGTGATAACATATACTTGTCAACAACATAACTTTAAAAAGAACCCATTATCAAGCCAGAGAGATAGCCTCAATAGGCTGAGTGCGGTCTGCATGCTGGGTTGATCCCTGGTACTCCTAGTTCCTCACACTTACCAGGAGCAATCCCATGAACAGCCTCTGTGCATCACTGGGTATGGTCCAAAAACAAAGCAAGATAGAAAGTCCCTTAAGAAAATTCTTACTAGGGGCCCAAGCAATAGTACAGCGGGCACACAGCAAACTTGGGTTCAATCCCCAGCATCCCATATGGTCTCTCAAGCACTTCCAGGAGTAATACCTGAGTGCAGAGCCAGGAGTAACCCCTGAGTATCGCTGGTGTGGAAACCACCCCCCCCTTGCAAAAAAGAAAATTGTTTTCTAAGACCTTTCTGTTTCTTAAACTATCATCCTTATAGTTCCAAATAGCAGTATTCAAATCCCCTAAAGTCTACAATTTAAACAGAGAATACAGGACAACAAAGCTGAACAACACATTAGTGTTTGAACAATACAATATGTTTTGTTTGAAAATAAAACGTCTTTGTTTTCCCTATGTTTAAAATAGAGACAGAATTACCATTTTTTCACTGAACCTTGTAAGGATTAATTGAATAAATTCATGCAAAGCATTTAGAAACTGATATAAAGTGTGTTTGCTATTATCATTACTGTTACTAATGGAAGACACATTATTCCAAAGGCAAGCTGAATTAAAATCCTTTTCTTCTTAAAAAAAAAAAAGATGAATTACACCATCTTACATTAAAAGTTTCTAAAGAACATTTAAAATCTCAAATGGCTACTGAATTAAGTCATCTAACAGACTTCAGTATCTATTAGTGCTATAAAACTTGACACAGCATATGAAATTTAGGCACAACTTTTCTTTTTAAAGTTAAATTCTAATTTAGTATTTATGTTCCTTTCATCACAGGAAATACTCATTTGTGAACTGTTCAAAATTCACCTAACGTATAACACACAAGAATATTCTTTATTAAAAAATGAACTGATAAAACTAAATTTTAAAACCATTATGAATGAAAACAAAAAGTACCTGAGATTCAAGTGGAATGAAGGATATATTTATTTCTTTACATCTTCTTACAGACTTGGAGCAAGAAGCCTTAATTTTGTTAAAGAGACTATCAGGGCAAACTGAAAGAGAAACAAATGTAACTCCACCTAAACGTTTATTCTTCTGAATAATAATTTTAAAATCCAAGAATATTCTTTTTTGCATATAATCATGATGAGATAATATGTAAATATTATTATTCACTTCTCATGTACTCTAGTCCATTGGTCTTCAACTCATGGTACGTGAACCAGTGATAGGCAATGAAAAAGTTACTAATGCCTAACAATCAGAATATCTGGACAATGTAGCAGACTGGAGGATCATAGCAATCATGAAATAATTTTATAAATAATGAATTTTACTTCTGCCTTAATTCTTTTCAAAAAAAATTTATTTTTGTTTGTGCTAGATATTGACCCAGGATCTCACACATTCAAGAAAAATGCTCTACCTCTGAGCTACGTCTCCCGCCTTTATTCTATTTTCAGTGGTCCACAGGTATAAAAAGGTTAAAAACCAGTTTTCTCATTGTAATGGAAAATTCATTCTCCTCATTCACATAAACAGGATCTAAGGTGTATTTTTTATTAGAGAGACACTAATACCTCAAACTAAAACTGTTAAGAAGAGAAATCATGTCCAAGTACATGACTTACTGAACTTTTGTAGGACTTTCAAAACTTCTTAGGAACTTACAGCAGTTTTCTAAATCTGCAACTAAATGATCTACATTGCTATCACACAAACTTGTTAATTTTTCTTGTATTATAAGACTTTCTCTAATGTCAGGAAATTCTACAACTAAGCCAGGAAGCTTAAGACCTCAGAGACCGTTTGTTTTCACTTCATTGCTCTACTAAATTTAGGTTGAAAAATCAATTTTTACCCTCTACGGTCTTTTAAACATGTCTGTTAGCCTTGATTCCTTAAGTTAAAAAAGGCTTCACAGGGCCGGAGTGGTAGCACAGCAGGTAGGGCGTTTGCCTTGTATGCGGCCAACTTGGGTTCGATCCCTGGCATCCCATATGGTCCCCTGAGCACTGCCAGGAGTAATTCCTGAGTGCAAAACCAGGAGTAACCCGAGTATTGCTGGGTGTGACCCCCCTCCCCCAAAAGTAACAAAACAAATACTTGCTAAAAAAAAAAGGCTTCACAGTCATTAAATTTTATCAATTCAATAAGCATGAAGTCCTATAATAAGATTATTTAAATGACAAACACAGTTTGACTTTTTGGTGGTGCCAGGAATCAAACTGAGGCCCTCACACATGCAAGGCAAAAGCTGACAGTATGACAAATTTTAAATTGCAAACAATTAGAAGGTATGAGATAATAATCCTTTGTAGGGAAAAAAATATCTACGGGCCTGAGTGATAGTACAGTGGGTAGGGCATTTATCTTGAATGCAGCCTGCCTGGGTTCAATCTCCAGCATCCCATATGGCTGCCTGAGCACTGCCAGGAACAATTCCTGAGTGCAGGAACAGGAGTAACCCCTGAGCATCTCCAGGAACGACCCCAGACCCCACAAACAAAGAAAGCCTATATATATGTACACACATATATTCCACTAAAGTGAGGAATCTGTAATAACGGAGACCAACTCTGTAAAACAGCACTTTTATCCTGTAGTAATGCACTTATTATATGTGTCTACATAATCTACTATCTGTGCCTCTGGAATTCTCCTTTTTTATTATGAAAAATATTTATATGATACAGTACATGATAAAAGAAGTTTTGAAACATATATTCCCAATTTTGTAAAACAAGTTTTATACAAAAATATGGAACGCTTCATGAATTTGCGTGTCATCCATGCGCAGGGGCCATGCTAATTTACTCTGTATTGTTCCAATTTTTAGTATACGTGCTGCCAAAGCGAGCACTCAATTCTTTTTTATTCTTTCTTGGTGGCAGGGTCTCCTTAGCAGTGCTAAGGTGCCAAGGGGACACTCCCACTGATATTTTATGCCCCTCAGTTCTCTGTGATTCTTCAGATGCTTTCTTTTCAAACATAGTGCAGCAAGATAAATGTGACAGACTTTTTCCTCTTATATTTGCCAAACGGCAGTTCCTCCTGTGCCCTTCTAAAAATCTTATTTTTAATTATAATTTTCTAATTATACACTTGAAACCATTATTCTTAAGGCCAGGGCAATGGCTCAAATAGCAGAACACATGCCCAGTATGTGCAAGGCCCTAAGTGCTACCCCTGGCACTGCTGAGCCACAGGGTGTAGCCATAGAGAACCTAAAATTGCAAGAGAACATGGCAGGGAAGTGTCCCAATGCCCACACAGAACCAATGGATGAGGCTCTTTAAAATAAAAAAAAAGTTATCTGGACTGGAGAGATAGTACAGTGAGTATGGTATCTGCCTCGCACACAGCCAATCCAAGTTCGATCCTTGGCATCTCATATGGTACCCCAAGCACCTCCAGGAATAATTCCTGAGTGCAGAGCTAGGAGCAATCCCTGACCATCACTGGATCTAACCCAAAAACAAAAAAGTTCTTGTCATCAACAAAGAACCTGAGGGTTAGCCCTTTCCAACAAACTCTCTCTCTCTAAAATAAACCAAAAAGCTCTTTTGAAACTAGTTTGGGATTACTCCTATCACCTTAACAAAAATTAGGATAGATACATCTAATTTTGAGATTATTTCTAGACTAATTAAAACAATGGAAAGTGACCAGTACTGGACTATTAAATACTTCAAAATGGATTTAATATTAAGTGATAACTTAAAGATACTTACAGTCAGTGAAGTATATATATGCTGCTTTATATTTGTTGTCCGATTTACTTGCAAAATCACGTAAAAAACAGTCTACAGACTTAAAAAAAGGTTAGAAATCAATATAATAAAACATTAACCCAAATATGCTACCTTATAACTAAAATTATCTTTTGTCAATGATAAAACCTTAACTGCCTAAATGTTTAATCTTTAAATGAGTATTTTTATGCTAGGTTATCTAAACACAGATAGTGACAGAAGAAGAAGTCAGGGGTCAGAGCAATAGCACAGTGGGTAGAGCACTTGTCTTGTATGGTATTGAACCAGGTTTGATCCCTGGGACACTGGGACTACACACAGTCCCCTGAGCCCACCAGGAGTGATCCTTAAGTGCAGAGCCAGGAGGAAGCCCTGAGCACTGCCAGGGGTGGCCCAAAATACCACACACACAAAAAAAAAATTTAAGAAAGTCATATGTGTAAGAAAGTACTACTTTTAAAGAGGAAAAAAAGACAAAGCACTATTCTTACTATGAAGGAATTTAGAAAAGATCAAGTAACTGGGATGCCAGAGCAAGACAGAAGACAAGACTACTGAAAGCAGAAACTAAAACATCAACATACAGGAAGTGCTTCCTACACAAATAATGTAAACACCAAGAATAAGACGGGAGGGCTGAAACAAGTTTGAGTGCACTAGGAGATAAAACTTTCAAGGTTATGATTAAAGACCCAGAAACTGGCAGATGACTACAAGGAGGAGAAGTGGAAGGTAATACATTCTTGCAGTATATGATCCTATGCAGGTGGTATTAAAAGATACAATCGAATGGAAGCAAAAATGGACAAAGAAGATCATTCCACTTATCTGCTCTTTTTCCTCATTCTGGAATTCCTAAGTCTATACTTGATCTAGGAATCTAAGTCTCTACCAGATTTCACAGCTCTATCCCTCAAGTATCTCATCTTTTACTCCCATAATTTCCATCACCTTTTTTGGTTTTGACAGTCCATTTTGATCTTCTATTAACTCCTATTTCAAGAATGATTCTCTTTATCAGTTAACTAGTTGACTGAGAACTCAAACTCGTGAGTTCCAGAAAGCATCTTTTATTGTTCTAAATGGTCACTTATCTGTACTATTTTTCTGCTCAGGCTGTCATCCTCTTCAAGCAACTTGACTAGACCTATGTTTGCTTCATTTGAACTGTACTTCTCTTTGGGCGCTCGTGTGGCTACTTTGTCAGCTCTCTTAAGGTTTAGTTGTTAGGAGCATTCCAAATAGATAGTTCTACAACAGGAGAAAGGCAAAGAAGCTCCTCCTGAGAGGTGTGTAGGTACAAAGGCAAGCAAACCATCAGAGTTTCTGAAATACCCAACTGATCTCTCTTGGGGGGGCGGAGGGGGAGTTGTCACAGATCTCTTAAGAGTCAAACCCTTCCTGAGATCTGTCACTTTATGATGCCTGACTAGGAACTCTCTGTGGCTGGTCTAAAGTACTTGCTCAGATCCTGGGGAAGAAAGTCTCAAGCATCTCTTCATTAGTGCTCCTTCAGAGTCCAAGACCTCTATTTACAACAGAAACCTATAGATCTTGGGGGAATAACTGACTCAGGACAGAAAGAGAGCTGTTGAAGCGGTAATACAGCGGGTGGGGCTATAACTTCCAAGTGCAGCCAGGAATAGCCCCTGAGCATCACTGGGTATGGCCCCAAAACAAAACAAACACAAGAAACAAAGACAGAGAAACTGGAGTCCATTGCCATAAACACAGGAATCATGTTCACATACCATCTTCTCTGAACTTCTGCTCATTATTAAATATGCAATTTTCCAATCATGCTATCCTGCTTTAAAACACACACACACACACACACACACACACACACACACACCTGGCTCACTGAAATTTCCCAGAAGTCTCATTTTCAAAGACCACATGGTCCTTTATACCATTACAAATTAATGCTAAGAATTTAATTGGGTTTATTTACTGTTGGGAACTCAATTTGACCACTTGATTATTTCTTTATAGTAAACTCCAAGATGGGCTGGGGAAGTGGCTCAACAGTTAAGTACTTGCCTAGGTTCAATCCCAGGTACTGAAAAATAACTAAAACTCTCAGACAGAATTCATTTTAAGGCTCCTGATTAAAAAATAACAAATTATTTTCCAAAAATGCTATATTAATCTGTATTTCCACTAGCTGCATAGGTCGTTTCTATTCAATTACATATTAATTGCTAGTGTATGAATATATACATACTTTTCTTAAAAAATTTCCTTTGCCACCTAGCATTTCAATCCGATTTCAATCCCCAAAACAAACAAAATATGAATTAAAAAAGATAAACACACACCTAAATTGCAACACTATTTACAAAAGCCAAGGGCTGGAGTGACAGTACAGCAGGTAGGGCTTTTGCCTTGCACACAGCCAACCCACGTTTGATTCCCAGAATCCCTTATGGTCCCCCGAGCACCGCCAGGAGTAATTCCTGAATGCAAAGCCAGAGTAACCCCTGAGCATCACTGGGTGTGACCCAAAAAGCAGAAAGAAAAAAAAAAGTCAAGAAACAACCTAAGTGTCCAACAATAGACGAGAGAATACAGTTATTCTACTATAAGATACTAGTAAAATCTTGTCAGCTACAAGTAAAATCTTGCCTTTTGCTACGACAAGGATGAAACCAAAAGGGGTCATGTTACACAAAATTAGAGAGAGAAGGAGAAATTCCAGATAACCTCATTTATGTGGTATTTAAAAAAAGCAAAGCAGGGGCTAGAGCAATAGTACAGTGGGTAGGGCGTTTGCCTTGCACGCGGTCAACCCAGGTTCGATTCCCAGCATCCCATATGGTCCCCTGAGCACTGCCAGGAGTAATTCCTGAGTGCAGAGCCAGGAATAACCCCTGTGCATTGCCGGGTGTGACCCAAAAAGCAAAAGATAAATAAATAAATAAATAAATAAATAAAGCAAAGCAAATAAATGGACAACGATTTAATAACAACTCCTTAGACTTTGAATTACTAAGCTGATGGTAACTTATCTAGTCAGGGATGGGGAGTAACCAAACTGGGGAGGGGGGAAAGGGAACTATTGTAGTCATGATACTTATACTACATTAAAAAAAAAAATCCCTAGCCAGAGTGATAGCACAGCTGGTAGGGCATTTGCTTTGCACATGGCTGACCCAGATTGGATCACCAGCACCCCATATGGTCCCTTGAGCCCTGCTAGGTGTGATATTTAAGGGCAGAGCCAGAAGTAATCTCAGAGCCCAGTTGGATATGGCCCCAAAACAAAAAAAAATCAAAATAGAAATTTAAAAAATTTAAATCCCTGTGCCAATTTACTTGATGAAAAATAGTGTGTTTAACTTGGCAATTCCCCCAGTCTTAAATTGTATCTTACGGGATTATACCCTGGATAAAACTAAGGTATCATTAAAAACCCCAGCAGGGGTCAGAGAGAGGGTACATGGGTTTTGGCATTTGTCTTGCATATGGCTAACCCTGGTTTGTCCTGGGGCCACATGATTTCCCAAATATTGCTGGGAATAACCCCAAGCAATGAGTAGAAACAACCCTGGAGTGCCATGAAATGTGCCTAGAACCCCCTACCCTAACAAAAGAAAACAAAAATCTACCAGTGGTCAATACGTAGAAATCAAAGAGCAAATGTCATTTTTTCCCTGTTTGCTAGAGTTAGAAGAGAAAATAAAGTGGTATTGTCACTTTCACATTTGAGAGGGCCAGGAATGTGGCTCAGTGGAGAAGCACAGCCCTTGTATGTGGAAGGTCCTAGTTCAATCCCTGGCACCGCGGTCACGGTCCTCCCGTTGTTCATCGATTTTCTCGAGCGGGCCCAGTAATGTCTCCATTGTGAGACTTGTTACTGTGTTTGGCATATCGAATACGTCACGGGTAGCTTGCCAGGCTTTGCCATACAGGCGAGATACTCTCGGTAGCTTTCCAGGCTCTCCAAGAGGGGCAGAGGAATCGAACTCGGGTCGGCCATGTTGGCTGTGTGCAAGGCAAATGCCCTACCAGCTGTGCTATCGCTCCAGTCCCCCCTGGCACTGCAAGAAAATTAAAAAGGGATAAATTAACATTCTAGGTCAGAGGTTCCCAGATGCATTTGGCATACTGCCCCTTTTTAATTTCTTTTTTTTAAAATTTTGCTTTTGGGCCACACCCAGTGTTGTTCAGGGCTTACTCCTGACTCTGAACTTGTAATTGCTTCTGGTGGGGCTCAAGGGACCATATGGTATGCCAGAGATCAAACCTGGTTCAGTTGTGTGCAAGACAAGTGCCCTACCAGCTGGACCATCGCTCCAGCCCTTGGTTTTGTTTTTTTGGGCCATATTCAGCAGTGCTCAAGGCTCTGGCTCTGCACTCAGGGATAACAAAGGCAGTGCCCAGGGAACCATATGGGTACTGGAGATCAAACCGGGGCGGGGTTTGGGGGAATAAATTAGGGAAGGGATCACTCGGACAAAAGGGGAGGAGAAAAGTGTCTGCCTCAGAGATAGGCTTGGGGTGCGGGAGGGAAACTGGGGACACTGGTAGAGGTTACCAGAAACTGGTGAAGGGATTGGTGTTGAAACGCCTGAAACTCAATCATGAATATCTAACTTTGTAATTCATGGTAATTAAATTTTTTTAAAAATGCAAAAAGTCAGAACAAAACAAAACCCAGGTCAATTGCCTGCAGAAAAGCACCCTGCCTATTGTACTGTGTCTCCAGTCCTTTTTTAAATACAAAGAGGAAGTAAATCTTTAACCTATACAGTCTCATTGCAAAGACTACAAATGAAACAATCTTTTAAAACTGAAGTATTTTCCTAAACAAACTGGTTTCTGGCAATATTTTTCTAATAAAGACTATTACTTTATGAAAAATTATGTACTAGTAAAAGTATTTAGGAATGTACTTTTAAAAAGACTCAAAATACTTACCTTTGATGTTGGAGAGATAAAATAAAGAGCTTTCATTTGTCTGACAGGTTCTCGATTCTTATAAATATTCTCCACAACTAAAAGAAAAGTCATTTTATATAGCCAAGCATTTATACATCTAAAACTAATTTTAAATGAACTTTGTTATACTTCATATTTATACTAGTAGTAAAAATATTTACATATCCTAGGTTTAAGTATATTTACATGTCCTTTGTCCTCATTTGATAAACAACAATTCTGAAAACACATCTTCCCTAAGTTTTAATTCTGGGCTGAGATCTCTCCTCACCATGAGAAAAAAAAAGATAAAGCAGTTACTTCATAATAAAGCCTGCCAGCATAAATAATCATATGCCATGAAAAAATGAGGAAAATATATTAGAAATTAAAGTGTGTGTGTGTGTGTGTGTGTGTGTGTGTGTGTATACAAGGGATTAAATTTAGTGCCTCATTATGTGAAGCAAGTTATATCTCTGGTATAAAATATGCATTTTTTCCTTTGGAAAAATCACTTATAAGAATATAAGTGACACCAGACATCAGCTATGTACTTTATATGAATTAGCTGTGAAGTCTCACAGTAACTCTATAATGTCAATATTTCACAAGTGAAACTTAAGCTTAAAAAGAACAAGGCCTGGAAGACAGACAACTTAACAGCTGAAGGAATGCTTTGTACGCAGGAGTCCCAGGTCCAGTCCCCTGCACTACTTGGTCCCCTAAGCACTGCCCCCGCCACCCCCACCACTGGAGTGAACTCCAGTACTAAGCCTGGAATAGTCCCTAAGAACCGCCAGGGTGTGGCCCTCCAACAAAGAGGAAGTATTAAGTAACTTGTCCAAGTTACACAATTTAGAAAGTAGAACAGGCAGGATTATAACCTTGATCTGTCAAATTCTACAATCCTAAGTGTTTAACCACCAATAGTCTTTCTCCAACCAAAAAAAGTAATTTTTCAATCATGAAATATCACCATAATTTACTTAATTTGTTTAGTTACTGAAATTAAGTTTACAAAATTAGCTATTATAGCTAAATTAACTACCAAAGCCATATATTAAAAATAATATGTATTAAAAAATATCATTTTGTAAATCAAAAGAAATTGTTTCAAGTTGGCAGAGTGCCCAGGAAGAATGAAAATTATTCTAATATCAAGGGAAACAATTGTTAGACTTTGTTTATAATTATATTTTAAAAAATTTCTTGCTAATATTCATAATGACTTTATTTATGGGTAAGTTTTTTTTGGTTTGGGGACACACCTAGCAGTGCTCAGGGTTTACTCCTGTAGTCATGGATCACTCCTGGCGAGGCTCAGGGGACCATATGTGGTGTCCAATGTGGTGCTGGGTGATGAAATCCAGATCAGCCAAATGCAAGGCAAGTGTCCAACCTGCCGTACTATAATTCCAGCCCCTAGACTTTGCTTTTTATTTTTATTTATTTAAAAAAAAATTCTGCACTTGTGTACACAGTTCCTCCATTGTTTTCTTTAAAAAAAAATTGAATCACCTGGAGATACAGTTACAAAGTTATTTATGGTTGGGTTATACAATGTTGTAACACCAATCCCTTCACCAATGTACATTTCCCACCACACTCCACACTCCACCCCACCAGCTGCTCCCCTGGCAGATTTGCTCTCCTGCGCTCTCTCTCACTTTCTTTCCTTTTGGGCATTGAGGTTTGCAATAGAGGTATTGAAAGGTTAAGATGCTTATCCCTTTACCTACTTTCTGCACTCAGTTCTTGTTCAGAATGATTACTTTCAGCTATCACTGTCATAATGGACTTCTCTATCCTAACCTCCCACTTCCGTTACTTGTAGCAAGCTTCCAACCACAGGGGAAAAAAAGGAGTCCTCAGGAAAAAAAGACTTTGTTTTTAAATATAGTGATCATTTCTCACTCTTAGATTTAAATTAGAGAAACACAGGTTTACCATAGGTGCTATTAATAGCAAGTAAAATTTCTAAGAGTATTTTAACTTTTATCTTCATTCCCTACAAATGTAATTTAACCTTAAAAGGTAATAGAAGTGTGAGTTCACCAAGTAAAACTTGGGGGCTGCTGCTGCTGCAACAGGAGTGCATTCGGTCGCCCAGAGCTGCCTCCCACCTCCCCAGACCTCCGGGAAAGAGAGACACAGACACAGGGAGACAGGGAGACAGGGGACCACAGCCTGATGGTGAAAATGGTCCGTTTACTGCAGATCTGCTAGCATGCTTACAGAACATCTGAAGGAGGGCTGAAGTAAGGACATAGGTGTCACTGATCATTTACAGAGATCAACATTTGGTGGAGTAAATTCTCTTCGATAAAAGTAATTTTACCTTTAAAAGGTAACAGAACTGAGACAATTCTAGAATATCAATTTATATAACCACAACAAATATGTGAAAGTAAAAAATGTAAAGAACTCAACAAAGGAATTTACTTAGTAATCTTGATCAAAAACAATGATGTGTTTTAGTAGAGAGAGAAAAAAAGAGAAAAGGGAATGTTCATTCTAATTATTACGGCTATGTTTCTTTTTTAAAAATCATCAGAAATCGGGGCTGGAGCAATAGCACAGCGGGTAGGGCGTTTGCCTTGCATGCAGCCAACCCGGGTTCAATTCCCAGCATCCCATATGGTCCCCCGAGCACCGCCAGGAGTGATTCCTGAGTGCAGAACTAGGAATAAGCCCTGAGCATCAGCTGGGTGTGACCCAAAAAGCAAAAAAAAAAAAAAAAAAATCATCAGAAATAAAATTCCTTAGTAGCTAAATCTTCCCAGTAACAATGAGTTTTCAGGACGAGCACTGATAACACTTACCAGTTATGCCTTCAGTTAGAAGATCTGTCATTTTGCAGCATGATGACAAAAGCTTAGTGGTAAATTCATCTAAAATCATTATCTTAAAATGAATGAACAGTAAGAAATGTATAAGCATCTGATTGCCAGGAATTCAAAAAAATACAGAATTTTATTCATAAAACCTACTTATCTCTTATACCCTGGCAAAATTATCTCAACTTATCTTTTAACTTGCATAACATGGAAATTAATTCTCTTAATATGTTTGTCTATACATAATAAAGCAAACAAATGTTTCTATTTTGAAGCAGAGAACTTTTTAATTTTAAATTTGTTCTACATTGGGGCTAGAGAGAAGATAGTACAGTGGGTAAGGTGCTTGCCTTGCATGCTGCCAACCTGGGCTGGATCCCCAGCATCCCATATGGTTCCTTGAGCACCGCTAGGAGGAATTCCTGAGTGCAAAGCCAGGAGTAACCCCTGAGCACTGCCAAGTGCGGCCCCAAACCCAAAAAAATAAATGAATGTGTTCTACACTGATGACCACACTTTCTTAAAATTACAAAACTTGTCTTTTGTAAAATAATTATTGCAGACACTGTTATGAGCACTTTTCATAGGCTAGCTTACAATGAAACAGAAAGCACGAAGAGTAATTTGCCCAAGAAGCCCTAGATAGTTATTGGTAAAGCTAGGAGATGAATACCAACTAGTTCCAGGCTCTATAGGTATCATAAAACAATATACTTGGGTCCTTATTATAAGGGAGGAACATGCAATCCTACCTTCCACTCGCCTTCTTTCCTGCAGTCATCAAACACTGCTGATTTTATCTCTGTAAAATAAAATAAGTACTATATGAGCAGAAATAAAATGATAAAAGGCCTGCAGGTGACACGGTGGTCTGGCGCCTATGAGCAAATGAGACCAAACCACATGTAGGTGTGGTTCCAACCCCGGCACCAACCAGCATCACTAGTGAACTCCAGACGGATACCCTGCTGTTAGGATTCCTGATGCCAACAAAGTGTGTGATCCCAGAAATCTCAACAAAAATGACTGGCAGGGAGAAAAATAAAAAAAAATTTTGGGAGGTATGGTGCCACTAGCAGGTCAATCCGTACCTGTGAGGCAAATGCATTAGCAACCTGATGGTGCCTTCAGACTTCCAGATACCCCAATACTGCTGCTGTGCCTTTGGCCAGACCCCAACAACTTGGGGCCAAGTTCACCAAGAAAGTAAATGGCTAAAAGTTAGGTATGTGGGAGACACACCCACAAACCACCTCCAGCTCAGCTATATAATTGGAGGCAAGGCCTCCTGTTCCTGATCAAACTGCTTAACAGCCATGATACCAGAGACTCAGAAACAAATCTTGGAATCCTGTGGCTTTTGGCAGAAATGCGCCTGGTCCCCACAGCAGGTTACCAGCACCGGGTCACCCCAGAGGGGAAAGGGTGCTGTCCCTCTGCCTGCTCCCTCTTAGCAGCTTGGTGGCTGCCATCCTCCAGAGGCCACTGGACAGCCAGGTTTGGGCCTGCAGTGACAAGACACATGGAGCCTCACAGGATGGGGGTGTAGCCTTTCCTTCCCACCCCAACAAGACCCAAGTCGTCTCCCACAAATGGCCTCTCTGGCTCCTGATCAAGCTGCTTAGCGGCCATGATGCAAGAGACTCAAACAAATCTCAAACCCAGTGGCTTCTGGCAGAACAGCATCCAGTCCCTGTAGTAGGTTACTGGCGCCGGGCCACCCTAGGCGGGAAAAGGTGCTGTCCCTCCGCCAATTCACAAATATCTGTTCTACTTTATAAGAAATTTCCCATTTTACTTTTTAATTTTGAAAACTATGGTAATAGCTAGTGTGTATCTCCATAAGATATAATTAAAATGCAAATTAAAGTGATATTCATATTTCATTAATTCCAGTAACAAGAAGCTCATTTAGCATTTTTTTTTTGATTGAGTCACTGTGAGATCATTACAAAGCTGTTCATGATTGGGTTTCAATCACACAATGTTCCAACACCCATCCCTCCACCAGTGCATATTTCCCATCACCAATGTCTCCAGTTTCTCCCCACCCTCCACCTACCTGCCTCTATGGCACCTTTCTTCTCTCTCTCTCTCTCTCTCTCTCTCTCTCTCTCTCTCTCTCTCTCTCTCTCCATTGTGGTTTGCAATACAGGTACTAGGAGGTCCTTGTGTTTGTTAAGGGAATTCAGTATTTTTATCGGAAAGGACAGTTGCAGTAGCCTTTTTAACTGGGTGGCAGCTTTGGGATGTCAATGTGACCGCTGGGGCTTCCAGAAGTACGGGGAGGTGGGGAAAGGTAGCCTATCAAGACTCAAAATAATTCTGGAGATTTCAGTCACAAAACCCACATACCTAAATTTTCAGATTAATATCTCAGTGAGGGCTGTCCGAGACAGCGGAGTCCTGCTGTGGGCTCTGTTTGGGCAGGCAATGGGCTAATCTGCCCCCAATCAGATGTGCCCCAGATTATTCAGCCATATGTGGGTCTGAGATTTACTGCAGCATTTTTTTTAATCTCTTGAGATTTATTCTTGGGTCTCCAGAGCAAAGCGTGTAGAAGAGCTTACATGGCAGCACCAGAGTCGGTTTGTGAGAGGCTTCTGGGAATACAGAGAAGTTGGGGGAGGCAGCCCATTCCAACTCCGAGAATACCCAGAGATTTTAGTCACAAAACCCACATACTCAAATTTTCAGCAGGTTTTCTTAGTGATGTCCGGCCTGAGATGGTGGGGTCCAGCAGGAGACATGGTGGTGATTTGGGATTGTGGGAGCAAGCAGCTGCCAAGGGCTCTGCCCGAGTGGGCACTGGTCTAATCTGCCCTCTCTGATGTGCCCTGTGCAGGGCCAAGAAGATTAACTCTGTCTTTTTGATCTCTTTCAATATTTGTGAGACTTTGGTGCCTTGGATGGTAGTTTGTGAGCATGGCTCCCATGTACCTAAATTTTGGCAATTTAATTTCTCAGAAAACTTGGTCTCGAGCTGTTAGAGTTTGGTTAGAGGCAAAGTGGTAATTTTGGGGGTGTCTGAAAGTCCAGAAGCACCATCCAGCTGCTGCTGCTCTCATCCAGTAGGTCCAGGTTGACCATGGGGTGCTGTACCCTCTGGGTCTCAGTAGTAATGGCAGCAGTGATCCGTGAGAGACCAGGACTGGGCCAGGGGGCTGCTGTGTGTGGCTCCAGTCTCCAACCAGTTGATGCTTAGGGAGGTTTTCCTCAATTTGCTGCGTGAAGCATTGGCAGCAGCGAGGGCTGATCCGGGGGAGCAGTAACCAGTGACCAGGATGTCCTACTGATGGCAGGTTTCCTGGTCTGTCTGAGCCGGACTCTGGTGGGAACCTGGGACACCTCCTCACCTCCAGGGCCTGCGCTCTGCAGTGGTGGCAGGCTGGACCCAAAGAGAACGATTCATACACATCAAGTTTCTGCCACCCGAGCAGACCGCTGCCCATAGTCCCAAGAGCTGCAGTAGCTCCGCCCGCTACAGGGCCTGCCGTCCCACCATGGCCACCATCCTCACAGGTCTCACTCCTGCCAGTGCTCCACGGCAGGCACCAGGTTGGCCTCGCTTAAAGGCATTCTTTCCGAGATAGAATAGAAAGGGCACTTAGACTCATTCATACAGAAGAAACTGCATGACCCCATCAGCCCCGCTGTTAAGAGCGCTGGGAGCTGCCATCACTCCGCCCGCTCTGGCGCTTGTCACCCCACCAATGCCATCTTCTCTCGCATTTTCACTTAATTTGTATTTGTATTAAAATAAGTGTTCAGGGGCATTCACCATAAATTTCTGGCATCATGTTTAAAAAAAAGGTGATCTGGAAAGTTTTACTGTGACTGGGAAGATCTGAAATGTTAAAAAGTTTCAGGCAACCGGAGCAAGCCTACAGCAAGTAGGACACTGTATGCGGTGGACCCTGGAGTGATTCCTGATGCAGAGCCAAAAGTAACCCCAGAGCATTGCTGGGTGTGGACCAAAAGCAAAATAAGTTTTAGTTGAAGTGCATATATGTATTTGCTAGGAGGATTTAAGATGTTCGCGCTTAGAAATTTCCATGTACATTACCGCAATCTATAATTGCAATCACACTCTCTAAACTTAATTCATCTTCTAACTGGAAGGTGGAGCATTGTGGCCTAATATCTCATTTCTCCCCAGACCCACCAGTCCTTCCATTTTCTATAAATCTTACATCTCAGGCTGAGGGTGTGGTTGGTAGAGCACAAGCCACGCAGGTGGGAGGCCCTGGGCTCAATCCCCCACAACACCAACAACAAATTTAAAATAGTCATATATATGTGTTTGTGTGTATGTATATATATATTTATACATATACATATATACGTATCTTACATCTCATGTGTTCTTGGACTTCACTCTGTTACATAATTCATGTTTAAACACCAATAAAAGGAGATTACAGTTCCCTAAAAATTGTTCTATGCTTCTCCATGTCTATGAGTTTTGTCAGTTTCTTAGTCATAGTCTGAGGCTATTTATATTTCCCCTTTCAAACCCCATACCCAATTGGCCGGTAAAGGTAAAGGTAAAGGCCCTCCCGTTGATCATCGATTTGCTCAAGTGGGCCCAGTAACGTCTCCATTGGAGACTTTGTTGTTACTGTGTTTGGCATATCGAATACGTCACGGGGAGCTTGCCAGGCTCTGCCGTGCGGGCGAGATACTCTCGGTAGCTTGCCGGGCTCTCCGAGAGGGGCGGAGGAATCGAACTCGGATCGGCCGTATTGTCTATGTGTGCAAGGCAAACGCCCTACCGCTGTGCTATCGCTCCAGCCCAATTGGCCCAGCCCAATTGGCCGGTAGCATCACTTTTACTTTTTCTGGTGATTACTGCAATCACTAACACTGCCTTGATTCTCATCCTCTCACTAAATTACCGTAATAATCTCTCACCTGGATTTCCTGCTTTCTACCTCAAACTCCTTTGTCTTTTCCAACCACTTCCACACTGCTGTCAAAATCATCTTCTGGAAGCACAACCCTTTGTTTATATCAATATCCATTTAAAAATTCCCACAAACATTTTTGTTTGCTTCTTTTGGGGTCATACCCAGCGATGCCGCTGGTCATTCCTGGAAGTGCTTGGTGCACTACAGAGTGCAAAGGATTGAACCCGGGCCCCTTCATGCAAAGCATGTGCTCAGCTTACTGATCTAGCTCCCTGACTCCATAATGCTAAATCTTGACTGTCACTGTCACTGTCCTCCCGTTGTTCATCGATTTGCTGGAGCGGGCCCAGTAACATTGTAAGATTTGTTACTGTGTTTGGCATATCGAATAAGTCATGGGTAACTTGCCAGGCTTTGCCATGCGGGTGAGATACTCTCGGTAGTTTGCCGGGCTCTCAGAGAGGAGTGGAGCAATTGAACTCATGTTGGCTGCATGCAAGGCAAACGCACTTACCCGCTGTGCTATTGCTCTAGCCCTTGACTATGGAATAAAATTAAAAGTATACTATTTGACATCCTTTGTCAAAAAGCGGCCTCTCTAGAATCTCTAAATTAACCCTTCACTGGTCCAAATGCTATCTGAAAAATGACCTTTAACAACTATTCAATCTGTGTTCATTTTGTTCTAAATGCAAAAAAAAAAGTACTTAAAACTAATGCTAAAGAGGAAGTAGAAACTTGGAATGGAAAAATTAAATAGTGTGCAGCACAAGCAATACTGAAAAATTGTATTTGCACAATTATGCTAGATCAGAGAAACTATTAATAAACCTAAAAATAAGGAGAAAACAGAAAATATCTGTAAAATAGAAAATAAGCTATGAGCAGCAAAGTTGTTAAGGAACATCCTGACAATGTGAAAATCATATTAAAAGGAGGAAAAAACACCAACACTGAAAAATAATCTCTATGAGGAACCAAGATCACCTCTTCTGTCTACTGTCTCATCTAAATCTCAGCCTTCCATGATGCCTTATACTCTCTACCTTAAATCTAGATAACTTAGTTCCCTTTTTCTGAGACTTATACCTATATTTTCATCTCCAACTACTTAGCAGATACTTCGAGCTACACTTAAGATCCCCCAGGTTGGGGCTGGAGTGATAGCACAGTGGGTAGGGCGTTTGCCTTGCACGCAGCTGACCCGGGCTCGATTCCCAGCATCCCATATGGTCCCCCGAGCACAGTCAGGAGTAATTCCTGAGTGAATGCGCCAGGAGTAACCCCTGTGCATTGCTGGGTGTGACTGCCCCGCCCCCCCCCAAAAAAAAGATTCACCAGGTTCTTCTAAAATGTTAATCTGCAAAGATACATGTACACCTGCACTCATCACAGACTTTTTCACAATAGCCAAGGTCTGGAAACAACCCACGTACCCAACAACAAATGAGTGGATAAATTACAGTATATTTCTACAATGGAATATTACCAGCTATGAAAAAGATAGGTAAAGGTAAAGGTATGAAAAAGATAAAATCTTTGGACCACACCTGGCAATGCTCTGGGGTTACTCTTGGCTCTGTGCTCAGGAACTACTCCTGGTGGTGCTTAGGAGACCAGATGGGATGCTGGGGATCAAACCTGGGCCAGCCTCAGTCAGCCATGTGCAAGGCAAACATCCTACCTGCTGTACTATTGCTCTGGTCTGAAAAGATAAAATCGCCCTTTTCAGCAAGGTGGATGGTATCACGCTTAATGCAATGAGTCAGAAGGGGAAAAAAAGTATCAGATGATTTAACTCATACATGAAATACAAGGAAACAAAACAAGGTAAAGTTTCAAATGGCAATCTTGAGATACCAATGTTGAAGAATGTTGCACTGATGCTGAAAAGGGATGGAGGGAAGGGACCTCATGGTCCTTGAGGGCATGGTTACTGACCCTCTGATGGTACCATGGGAAAGGAGCAGGGCAAGTATAAAATGGAAACTTGTAAACCATATTGCCTCAAATAAAACACAATTTTAGTAATACAGCATGCTCTAATCTGAGGGTGGCGGCTGTTTCTGCCTCTAAATTTGGTTTTCTTTTCCCCCTATTCTGTAACTAGCAACCCCCCTACTACCTAATATCTTAATCTGAATCCAAATCTAAATTACTTTCCCCCATTTTAAGTCTTATTGATTTCATCTCCGAAAACTCTCATAACACCATTCATCTTCTCTGTAGTCCTTGCCACAGTTCAGTCTTCTTGCTAGGACCAAGATGGTATAGCAGAACAGGTCTCACTGCCTCCCATGCCAATTTATCCTGAGTACACACTCTCTACTCTAAAACCACTGTTTTAAATAATCATACTATAAAAATGGGATTAACATATTCACATTACTGTTACTAGCTTTTCTCTACTAAACATATATCAAGAAATACTGTAAAGTATTTCTTACTAAAGGAAAAGCATGGTTGATCAAATTAGTTCCTTAAAGGGTAGTCACTCTGTTTCAAATTTTGCTCCCATAATACTGCCAAAAAGATTCTTGTACACATATCTTTACTTGCCACTACTTTCAATTCTGAAGCAGAAATCCCACAAATGAGAAACTGGCATCAATTATCAATTTTTAATTTTTAATATATTAGGAAATGATTTTTAATTTGCTAAAGAGAGACTAGGATGGGGGGGGCACACTCGCATACCTGGCTGTGCTCAGGCTTACTCCTGGCTGTGTGTGCTCAGGAGTTACTCCTGGGGTTGCTCAAAAATGATATCAGATGCCGGGGATTGAGCCTGAGTTGGCCGTGTGCAAGGAAAGCACCCTACCCACTGTACTCTGTACTATTTCTCCATCCCCATAGGAGCATTTTTAAGCAATAAAAAACAAAGGATCATGATTAGTAGATATTAAAGCAAAAAACCTTTTTTTAAACATTTTTATTAGTGAGACATCATGAGCAAAAATACTTTAAGAAGAAATAACTTGTCAAATGTTATTAAGCAATTAAGAGCAAATAGTGTACATTTATGACCTAAACAAAAGAACATTAAAAACAACTATGGAATAAGAAAAAGGTATTAGGAATACAAGCAGAAATTAAGAAAATATAGTAATTGAAGAGCTGGACAATAAAACATGGAGAAATCAAGTTGAAGAAAAACAAACTGTAGTCCTAATTCATTATTTATTTTAGGAAACTGAAGTATAATTTGGACTGGAAACCAAGTTTTCCAAGTATTATTTCAATGAGAAAAATAAACAAACAAGCTTTTATCACTAATGCATCACGAGAAAGTGTTTGAAAACAAAGAACAAAAAGCAGACTCTGGCCAAAAAGGAATTTATATTCATAGAAAACTGAAACATGTTATTAAACCGTAAGTATGATTCCACAGATTGTGCTTACCTCTGTTCCATATTATTTGTGAAAAGGCACGAATTTTAAGAAAAACTCAGGGTCTTAAGGCAGAAGAAAAAGCAACACTCAGAATTAGTATTTGAATTAAAACTGATCGAACTGTTTATGGGAAAGACCACACAGGGGTCTCAAAGTACAGTGTTTTAAAGAGCCAAGAAAGGGGAATACATGAAAACTGAAGACTGCTCTAGATAACTAAAAGGGGAGGGAGACAGTACAAGGGCTAAGGGCCTGGCACACAACAAACCAATCTCTGGCACCATATGGTCCCCTGAGCACTACCAAAAGTGATCCCTGAGCACTTCTGGATGTAGCCCCAAAACAAAGAGACTACATACAAAGTAATAAAGTAATTATTTTGACATAGAGATTTAGCTTATCTTAATACTAACCTGTAAATTAAAAACTTTAAAATAAAAAGTTTGTAATTTTTTCATGTATAGAACATAAATGTAAAAAGGCAGAGGGCTAATGAGAAATTAAAGTGAATAGGGTACTGAGCCAACCCAGGTACAATCCTTGGCACCCCAGATGGTCCCTGAGCCTGCCAGGGATGATCCCTGAGCATCGAGCCAGGAATAAGCCCTGAGCACAGACAGGTGTGCCCTCCCCCCATTAAAAAAAATTAGTGGTGATATTAAGTAATTAGAGATCAGGAGTTATGGGGTGCATGGTTAGGTTCTGTATCGTATTTCAGATGTTACATAACCAAAAAAAGTCCATCCTTATAAGAACTGGATGTTGAAAGTAGGTAAAGGAATATACATTATAACCTTTCAGCATCCGTATTGCAAAGCGTAATGCCTAAAATGAGAGAGAAAGAGAGAGAAAAGGGAGGAGAGAGATGCCAACCACAGAGGCAGGCTAGCGTGGGGAGGCAGCAGGAAAACTGGAGACACTGGTGCTGAGAAATTACACTGGTGGAGGGATGGGTGCTGGAACACTGTTGACTGAAACCCAAGCATGAAGAGCTTTGTAATGCTCTATCTCACAGTGATTCAATAAAAATAAATTTAAATTTTTTGAAAAGTCGGATTCAATAAAAATTAAATTTTTTTAAGTCTTCTGTACACTTAGCATTACAAGTTACACCCTGATTTAATGAAATCTTAGTCATTTCCCTTCAAAATAGGAACAAGAAAATTACTTCCTTTCAGCATTGTTTAATGGAACCTCAAATGCTAGTGACTGTTATTTGAGGAGAGGAAAAATACTCACACTGTCCAGAAATATCTAACTGTTTAGCTCCGACCTATCAGTCTTTGTCCCCCTGTTCCTTGTGACAAATCAAACAGTTTTTTTCTGCCATGAACTATCACTTACTTGGTTACCTTTGGGCAGTGACTCAAAATCATCTGGGGCTGGATAAAATTCTACTACTTTTCAAGGTCACCTTCTCCTCTTCTGGAAGGAATGAAATCATTCTTTTTGTCTCTTCTCCCCTGGAATACTTTCCAACTGCTAAAACAGCACTTAGCACCTGGGTATCTGTATCTTTCTTCTCTCAGTGAGTGTGAATTACAGGAGGATCAAGGAGTATGCACTTAGAATACTACTGGTAGCACAGGATACTTAAAAATTAAATTATTACTCAAATATCTCCAAATTAACAGAATATTTGGCTCAATAAAATAAACCTCATATAAAAAGAAAAAGATAGGAAACAAAACTGATAAAAACAAAAGAACATTTTATACAAGCTTATACTGTTCCATAAAAAGTTCTAAAATAATTTATTTTAAAAACTCTGAATATCTTTCAAGAGGAGGCTAGAAGCTATGTAAGGAAGAAAATGCATTGTTTTGTTTTTGGACCACAGCAACCTGTGCTCAAGGAAACTCCTGTCTGGGCTCATAGGGGTAGGGATTGAACCCGGGTAAGTAACATGCAAGGCAAGAGTCTTATCCAGTGTATTATCTCTCTCTCTCTCTCTCTGGTTCCACGGACATTTTATTTTTAATCTTTTCTGCTAGCAATTATTGCCGATCAGTGGTGGGTGTTACCAAAAAAAAAAGGAAGTTACAGAGGCCAGACAGAAAAGCAGGGAGGGTACTTGCCTTCCACGTGGCTGTTTTGGGTTCAGTCCCCAGCACCACAAAGGGTCCCACCAAAATTGATATCTGAGCACAGTCAGGAGTAAGCCCTGAGCACCTCTGGGTGTGGCCCAAAAAAGGGAGTCACAGAGCTGCATAGCTAGCTCAAGTGACTGAGCGCATACTCTGCCTGTAGGAAGCTTGGGTTTGATCCCTGATACTGTGATCCCCAACAAAGCACAGCAGGATGTGACATCCCTAGCAGGTCCCCCAAGCACAAGCTAGGAGTAGCCCTCAAACAATGCTGGATGTGTTTTTTTTTTCCTTTAAAAAAAAAAAGCACCAAAAAAGGAAGTTACAGAATGACAAGTTAAAAAAAACCTGGATCTATGTGAGGATCAGAAGCAAGTGCTAAAAGGGGGTAAATGATGCCAAAGAGATCGAACAGCAAGTAAGGTGCTTTGTCCTACATGCATCTGACCCAAGGTTCAATCCCCAGCTCCACACGTGGTTCCCTGGGCACTGCCAGGAGTAACCCCTGAGCACAGTCAGACGCAAGCCCTGAGCACACTGCCAGGTGTGGTCCCCAAATTCTAGTAATAATCATAAAATTTAAAGGTGATAGTTTATGACAACATATAAAGAACTAGCACAAATCAATACCATTTTATTACTTTTATTTAAAAGCATGATAAATTTTCTAGGCCCTTTTTTCTCTGTTGGTTCCTCTAAAAATTCTCTTTGAATGACAGACATGCTACGAAAGTAATTAGAGACAAGAATAAGAAAAAAGGTAAAGATGGTTAGAACTTGCTTTATGGCTTTTATTTACTGTTGTACTGCAGTATAGTATTACTATTATTGTTATTTTGTAAAAAACAAGCATCAGTATTTTTTCTTTAAAATGTCTATCAGACAGACCAGAGTAGTAGTGGCACAAATAGGGTGCTTGCCTTACAGTTGGCTAATCCAGATTTGATCCCCAGCATCCCATACAGTCCCCAGAGCACTGCTATGAGTAATTTTCTAGTGAAGAGCCAAGAGTGATCCTGAGCATGAGGCCCCAAAACCGAATTTAAAATAAATTTTAAAAAACCTGATTTTTTGGAGATGGAGATGGCTCAAAGGGTATGAGCACATGTTTTGCACACGAGAACCCTGGGTTTAGCCCGGGCATTACGCCAATCAACCCTTTCCCCAATACCTGGTATGTAGGAGCACAGGAGCTCTGCTGAGCGTCATCCAAAAACACTGATAAAGGAAAGTCTTTATCAGTGATTTTTGTTGCTACGACCTTGCAACAAAAGGTTACAAATAAGCATCACCAAGTACTATAAACTCACAGACTTTAATGATGTGAATTAGGAATAACCTTTGGTGCTCAAAATGTTAATCTTCCTTTTTTTTTTTTTTTGTGGAGGGGGGGACATACCTGGTGGTGCTCAGGCATTACTCCTAGCTCTGTGCTCAGGGGACCATACGTGGTAGATTCAAACAGGGATCAGATGCATGCATGGCAAGTGCCTTACCTCCTGTACTACTTAAATTATAGTCTTCTGAAGACTGAAGGTAGTCTTCAGAACTGATTACAGACTGATTCCTTTTTAGGTTTTAGGTTTCAGGTCAAGTGTCACCCACAGTTGAGGACACTTGAGAACACTTTCCCGCTTCACTGACCTACAAGAGCCTTCTCTGTGTATCACAAACTGAAATGAGCATGTTTATGCTTTGTTCATATATTTTTTACTTTGCCCCCACCTGAATAGAAGCTTAGAGAGAGAAGAGTGGAACTTGTTTCCTCACGCTGTGTTCCAACAGTAATTTGATAATATTTACTGTATCAAATGGGTACTTAGTAGAAAAAAGGGAGGAAATTATAAAAATGGATTTAACATTTGCACGGCCCCACCCCCACCAAAAAATAAACAACGAAGGGCAAAAAGGATGAAATGGTTGAACATTGAGATTATACAAGGAGAGAGCAGACAGCTGTGTAAGTTTGGGGCCAGGTTGTGTATCTTCAAAAACAAACTAAGAATTTGAAATAATTTGTAAGCAACCAGCAATTTCTACAGATCTCCCAGCAAGAGAATGGCATGGAGAGAGGCCAGGGGATGCCTCTGTGGCACAAACACCTTTCTTGCAGGTGTGAGGCCCTGAGTTCAATTTCAGTGCTCAGAGCTTGCAGAGTGTGGTCATAGCAACTGCGCTGTTTGGGATTTCCAGATCTGCAACAAAGTGGGTGATATCCAGACCACCGCAGCCAGGTGGATGAGCATTATAAAGAGAGCTACAACCAGAACATGTGAGAGAACCACAATTAGAGGAGTGTAACCCCAGGTTAATAACAGATGGTCAAGCATGCTTGTTACCACCATCATCGGAATGACAGCTATGATGCAAGGAAAGGGAAAAACAGACTGAAAGAGTCCATGCGGTGCCAGGCACTGCTCTTCACATCTATTAAAACTTTCAAACAGAATTAAAAGTCAAATGCATGATTCTCCTTAGGAGATTCCATCAGCTGTTTCCATCAGATGCTGTCATCTAGAACTAACAAAACGCAGAAGCTCCTTTCATTAAGGCTTGATTACCATCAGGTCTTTCCCTTAAGTTTCTGTTTACACAAAGATTCAACTATTTTTTTTTAACCCTTCTAGTTCTTTTCCTTCCATTCAGTCTCTCATTCAACTTCTTTATCTTACCCTCGGGACAACCTCAAGTTTTAACAGCATGACAGAATGGACATTCTGTTATTTCTAAACCCTCCCTTTTCTCGGTTTCCTCCCAATCAAGGCGAATATTACTATCCTCAGCCCCTCCCCTTTTCTTCCCTTTTTCCCTAGAAAGGCGGATTTCTTTTAATTATTATTAAAGAACATTTTGATCTTGGAAATTCTTCCCGGCACACAATCCATGCCCCACTTTCATGCACACGTGCCAATATATTCTAAGCCATCCCAAAACATTCAAAAGATGTTTTCGCCACTGTTTCCCTCCCGACACGCCTGCGGCCACCTGTTCCACCCCGCCCGGGCCTGCTCGGCAGGATCTGGAGTCTGGGTCCGACCCGGGACGCTGCGGCATCTCCCGGAACGCCGCGCGCTCGGTGCCCCCCGACCCCCCGACCCCGTCGGAACCGCTCCTGAGACCGGCCCGCTCGCCACCACCCCCGCGCGCCGGTGTCCCACCCCGTGGGGGTCTGCTCGGCCCTCCTGCCCCCTCCCCCCCGGTCGGGACGGGACGGGACGGGACGCGAGCGGCGGATCCTGCCAGGCGCTCAGCGAGGAGCAACGGGGCAGGGAGCGGCGCGGCGCGGGGCTGTCACCGCGCAGTCTGTCACGGCGCTCGGGACCCCCCCAGCCCCGGGAGGGCTGGCGGGGCCGGGATGGGCGTGCAGGAGGGCGCGGGGGTCCGGCTCTGCTTCTGCGAGGGACACAGCAGCCGCGTGGGGAAAGCGCCGGGGTGCGGGGGTCCCGAGTCCCCGCGGCGGGCCGGGGCCGGGGCCGGGGCCGGGGCGGGCGGCAGGGAGGGAGGGAGCCCGGGAAGGCCGCGCCCGCGCGACCCCCGCCCCGCCCCGGCGGAGCCGCACCGCAGCAGCCCGGGCCGCCCTTCCGGCCCTTCCGCTCGCGCCCGCGGCCGCGCTGCACTCACTCTGCCACACGACGCTCTTCAGCCCCCGTTCCATCACCGGCGGCGCCATCTTCCCGGCCCGGGTCGCCGCCGCCGCCGCCGCCTTCTCTTCGGGCCGCCACAGGGACGCCCCGACGGCCCCGCCCCCCGGCCCCGGCCCCGCCCCCCGGCCCCGGCCCGGCCTGGTGACGTCACGCGCAGGCGGGCGGGCCCCGCCCACGCCAGGATGGCGCCTGCGCGCTGCGAGCGGGGGCAGTGACGTCAGAGCAGGAGCCACCGCCCACGCTGCGGAGCTCGCACCGGCTGGGTTAGAAAGCCACGCCCCTCCCCTCGCCCCGTCCCCGTCACCGGCTCGACCCCGGCGGGACTCCTCTGCCCTACGACAGGAACTCTTCACTGTAGGAAGCAGGTCACAAGCAGATTAACAACCGAATGGAACAGTTACGTCCCCCGAGTTGATTTTATTCATTTTCCAAGCGCGCGAGAGCTCTGAAGTTCCCTCCAGTGCGCCTGGAGCCAAGAGGAGGGAGTTTCAGGAAACTCCAGGAAATGAGAAACTCTCTGCTGAAGAATCGAGTTAGGGCACACATCCTGACACGCGGAAAAGCGGCCAAAGTTCGTGTCAGCAGTGATTGCCCGGGTGGGGAGTTAGCACAAAGGGTGGAGCTGTGGGAGCTCCAGAGGTGGGAGCACTGAGTGTGATACCAGACCCTTGCCTGTCCCTCTCTCCTCCAGCAGAGCCGGGAGTGACCCCGGAGCACCAGGCTAGGAGTAGAGACTGAGTAATGATAAGCGAGGCCCCCCCCAAAAAGCAATAAATGCCTTGGGGGCTAGAAAGAGAGCCCAGGGTTAAGGCATACGCTCTGCATACAGACCCTGATTAGATTCCACACACCTTCACAAGTCACCACACTGTCTCCCATTGTTGTTGGGGCAGCCTTGGAAGACCCCTATACTCCTGACTTGTAGGAGTATTTCCTAGCACCACCGTCTTGTCTGGGGCCTGTGCCCACCCTCCACCTCGAGCACCCATAAGTGAGTATCTTGGTCCTAGGTTGTGGCACTGGTTGCATGATGAGGTCTGGGTTTGATCCCCAACACTCCCCCCCACCACACACACACACACACACACACACACACACAACGGATACCTTAAATACATATGTGTGTATATTCATAATGAAATAATAAGGCAATAATTACCCAACAGATTTAAGTGGAAAGTGTATGGAAGGGGTTCATCAACACTTTAGAATCCGAAAGAAGGGAATTGTTGAGAGCTGATTAACACAGTAGGTGATTTGTGCTGAAATTTAAACATTGTGTTGAGTATTGCAAATCTCGCAACAATCCAACAGAATAATAATTTTCTCTACTGATTTGCAATACTGTAAACAATAGGTTTCATGTATAACACATTCTAGGACCACACCTTCCACCAGTATGTTAGTTCCCATCTTTGTCCCAGTGTCCTGTCCTTCCTCCCCACACCCCATCCCCACCCCATTCTTCCTTGTTTGTATCTGTGGCAAGCTTCCTACTAAAGACCTGTTCTCAGTTCCTTTTGCCTCTGGGCATTTGTTATACCCCTACTCTGTGTCTTCATATCCCACATGTGAGAGAGATCATTCTGTGTCTGTTCCTTATCTTCTGACTAACTTCATTACCATGACACTCCAAATTCAGTTACTAACAGCAGATGGCATAATTTATCTTTTCTCACAGCCGTACAGTATTCATACATAGTGTATACGTACCATGGTTTCTCTAGTCATCTGTTCTTGCAGAGTTGTGTTGTTTCCAGATCATGGCTACTGTGAATACTGCCACAGTGAACATAAGAGTGTAAATGTCGTTTTGGATAAAGGTTTTGGTCCCTTGCGGTACATGATAAGAATTGAAGTTGCTGGGTCCTATGGAAGCTCAATTTCTAGTGTTTTGAGAAGTGTATATCCAGTTTTCCAAAAGAACTTAAGCTATTTTGGTAATTTGGATCTTCAATGACTTGGTTTAAGGAATTTAAATTTTTTTGGACTTCTAAGGTATAAATTAACCAACTACCTCTTAGAGGTAAAATGATTTTGAGTATACTGTAGCCTTAGAATATGAGTATTAAGATATCCTGAGGTGGCAATGCCTCTTTTGCAAACCACAACACCCAAAGGAGAGAGAGAGAGAACAAAAGGGAATGCCCTGCCACAGAGGCAGGGTGGGATGGGGGGATGGGGGGTGGGAGGGATACTGGGATCCGTGGTGGTGGGAAATGGGCACTGGTGGAGGGATGGGTATTTGATCATTGTATAATTGAAACCCAAGCACAAAATTTGTAAGTCTACAACTGTACCTCATGGTGTCTCACTAATAAAAATTAAAAAAAAAAAGAAAGAAAGAACAAAGGGCTAAAGGAAACATAATGGGAGAACTGATCCTCACATTTGAGTTTGGGACACTGGGAGGGAGGGGTGCTGGAAACCTTGGGAGAGAGAGAGGGTACACTGTAATGGGTGTGGTGTTGGAAAAAAAATAATAAAGAAACAAATAGGAAAAAAAAAAAGGTATCCTGAGATGGGCTGGAGTGATAGCACAGCGGATAGGGCGTTTGCCTTGCACGCGGCCGACCCGGGTTCAATTCCCAGCATTCCATAGAGTCCCCTGAGCACTGCTAGGAGTGATTCTTGAGTGCAGAGCCAGGAGTAACCCCTGTGCAATGCTGGGTGTGACCCAAAAAGCGGGAAAAAAATGGAAGAAGAAAAGATATCCTGAGGAAATCAAAATTTTAACCTATAATCATGACCAATAATAGTGATAAGTTATATCAGGTATTGTATCAGGTCATCTGTATATACGACATAAACTTTAAATTATCTGGTCATCACTTGGGGATATTTATAATAAAGAGCCTACCGAAAGTAACCTGCCCACATGGCAGAGTCTGGCAACTACCCGTGGTGTACCCAATATGCCAAATACCAGTAACAATGATGGGTCTCATTCTCCTAACTCTGAAAGAGCCTTGAATATGGCACTTTTAAAAAAAATCTCAGGGCTAGGACGAAGGAGACGTTACTGGGGCCTGCTCGAGGTAATCGATGAATAACAGGATGGTCATGATCGTCATTATACAGTTGTGGAAACAGATTCAGGAAGACTAAATCATATGAGACTTCAAGATTGCTTCCAGGGGCCGGAGCGATAGCACAGCAGGTAGGCCATTTGCCTTGCATGCAGCTGACCGGGGTTCAATCCCCAGCATCCCATGTAGTCCCCCAAGCACCACCAGGAGTAATTCCTGAGCACAGAGCCAGGAGTAACCCCTGAGCATCACTGGAATGCGACCCAAAAATTTAAAAAAAAATTGCTTCTAGCCCATTCCATTTCCATCCTCTCGTACTGCTTATTCTCCCTTGCTTCCTTAGTTTTGTATAACTTCTTTGACTAGTCTCTCTAACCTCCTCGAGTTTGTTTGCCTAAACAAATTGAACAATAAATTCAAATTCCCTGAAAATGACATAATAGCAGAATGCAGAGTGAAATCCACTAACACTTGGTAAAAGACAAAAAATCTGCAAATATTGCTCTTGATCTTAGTCAAAAGGCAGAGAAGTGATCGTCATCAAGCAGATAAACAGTCAAGATAACCTAAGGCTTAAAATGTTAAAGTTCTTGTGCTAGGGGAGATCACTCACTCCACATCCCATTCCCAGGAATTCTTTATTCGTTACCGATGACTTAAATATGAGATTACAGAGCTATATCTTTCATGAAAATGTCACAGACTAGAGTTCTAACCAGTACAACGTGTTTATTGGCCTCCTGAAATTTCGTGTTTGATTTTGTTCTGGGTTGTTTTGTTTTGTTTTTGTTTTTGTTTTTGAGGGGGTGTGCTCAGGAATCACTTCTAGTTGGGTGGGGAGATGTGAGAGAGGTACCACAGTGCCAGGTGCCAGAGATTGAATCCGGGTTGGCCGGGTGCAAAGCAAGTGCCTTACCCACTTCACTGTCACTCCAGTCGTTCTGGGTTTTCTCTAGAAAAACCTTTTCCCATCTTCGTCCTACAGTGGCACACTGCTAACTACTGTGGCTCACCAATGCTGTATTCAATTGGATTTCTGCTCAAATAGACTCAACATATTTTTCTTTTAATGATGCCCGTGTGCCTGTTAACCTTTCTTTGTTTCCCGTCACAGAGATTTTGCTTCAAGAAAGAGCTCATCAGGGGACTCCTCATAAGGTTTCAAAATGGGCCACAGATCAGAATCATATGATAAAATGTGTTTAAAACATAGATTCTCAGGCCTTGTCCCAACCTACAAAATTAGACTTTACCCAAGAAACATTTTAGATTTGGATGCAGCTGTCCCAACATCTGTCTCCATTCACTGCTGTTGAGAAACCAAAGTGAGTTATATCAGGCTTCCCTGTCAGTATGTGCTCTGAAGCCCAGAATTCCATTTCCAGAGATTTCTGCATGTATCTTGCTTGTCTCCTTTCCAAGGGCTGATGCTCTAGGCAGTATCTCCTTTCAGGCAAGGACACATTCTCTCTCTCTCTCTCTCTCTCTCTCTCTCTCTCTCTCTCTCTCTCTCTCTCTCTCTCCCCTCCCCCCCCAATCTGTTGTTTTTAGCCACACCCAGCAGTGCTCAGGGATTACTTCTGATTCTATACTTTTGTACACAGTAAACACTCCTGGCGGTGCTCAGGGGACCACATGGGATGTCCGCAATTAAACTTGGGTGGGCCACATGCAAGGCAAAAACCTTCCCACTCTACTATCACTTTGTCTCTCTCTGATCAGCCTTACACAGAAAGGAAAAGAAGGCAGAGAAAGAGAAGTTGCTTATCTCTGCCAGTTTATTTCAACCCTTACTCCAGGCACCCGTTTCTTTTTTTGTTTGTTTGGGTGTCATGCCAGCAGTTCTCAGGAGCCAGTTCCAACTCAGCCAGTCCCAACTCGGTCCCAGCTTAGGTGCAGAAGTTGAACCCATGTGGCCCAATATGAGTTCTCCATCTGACCCAAGGCTCCAATTCCCCCTTGGACAGATTTCACGGTTGTTCTAAGCTACAGATGTTCTTGGACTCACAGCTATGTTTCGGGGGAGTAAACACTGT